AAATCATAACAGTATTAGCTGCTGTTTATTGTATGTTTTTTTCTACTATATATCAAGTATTATGTTAAATACTTTAACATTTTTACAGATTTATTGTCATAAAGGAGATAGGTACAAATGCATTTGCTACATTATTCTCTACACACTATTTAAAGAAACACAGACATTACAAATACAGTTTGAGCATCTGATGTATACTGCTCCTGACAGATAACCTCTATCTTAAGTTTGGTGATTATCATTCTCATGCTTTTTTATAAAAACATTACTAGTCATGTATTTACCTCTAAGCAATATGTTATGTAGGTTTTTAAGCTTTGTAAAAATGATATTTTATAGTGAGTAATCTGTGCCACTTGTATTTTTTCTTTCAACATTATATTTTTAAGAGTTATCCATATTGGTGAGTATGCCTTTGATAAGATTTGTATTTTTACTTTTGCTGCTATTTGAATAATTAATTGGATGTATGTACCACTATTTATCATTTTTCTGTTAATGGAACAGTGCTGCTGTGAGCATTCCTTATACATGTTTTGTTGTACACAGAGTTCCCTAGGGTACTAGGAGTGGAATTCTCAGAGTGGAATTACTGTATAGTAGTACATGCACATTTTCAGATTTAACAGATTTGCCTAATTGTTTCCTATAAAAGTTGATTTAATTTGCACTCCCTCATGCAGTGTCTGAGTTCTCATTTCTCCACGTCCCTAAATGGTGTCATAGACTTTCCATTCTATTTATTGGATGTTATATAATATCTTATGATTTTTTACATATTTTTTTTCTAACTTGGTGCAAGCCTACCAATGTCAGGATGAGAGATTCAGCCTAAGAGAAATTAAATAACTGTTCCAGGTCATACAACTGGAAGGTGGTTTACCCTGAATTAGATGATAGCTCTGCCAACACCAAAGCCAGTTCCTCTGCACCTCCCTACCTAGGTAGAGATTAGGGTGCTGATAGTAATATAGTCCACTCAGTAATTTAAGGACTAATTATGGAATTCTGTGCATTATGTCCTGCTTTTCCTTTCATTTCCTCAGCTAACTGTTTCTTGAGAACTTCCACTAGCTAGCCTTCCTGTTCTTAGAAAACTCTTTTTTTTTTTGGTACGTGCCCCTAGTGGGAACCAAACCCGGGACTCTCTGGTCCGCAGGCTGATGCTCCAACCGCTGAGCCAAACTGGCCAGGGCTAGAAAACCCTTAAAGTTTGTTATAATAGCAAGCCTGATTCTGGCCCATTTGTACCCAGTATCCATGTTTCTCAGTCAGTGTATTGAGAACTGACTATCCTGACCCCAAGAGAGTCACAGTGGAGAACCTTTTCCTCTTTCTAATTCAGGAGCTTCTAAGGATACAGAACTGCCATTCTGGGATGTGTTTCCAAATGGACCACTGTTTCCTTTTTGTCATCACATATTAGGAAGACTGAAAACAATCCAGGCAACAAACAAATGATCATGTAGATTTGTAGAATAGTATCTGTTTGGCTAAAAGCCACTTTCAGAACAAATGTGATTGTCTCTTTTTATCAGTTTAGCAAGAGATCTAGTATCATTAAATTTTGTAAGTCAGATTGCTGTTGACAGTGGCACCTTCAGTTTATTTTTCATTTAACTTTTTGTTGAAGTATAATAAATTTATAGAAGAGTATGTATGGTTTTGATAAATTATTGTTGTTTTTACTTTTGCTGCTATTTGAAGAATCGGTGGAATGTATATACTGCTATTATCTATGTATAACTGAATTTTCAAAACCTGAGCACACCATAGAATCAGCACCCAATCAAGAAACAATATTACCAGCACCTCTCTGTGCCCCTTTGTAGTCACTATCCACTCCCAAGGGTAACCCCTATTCTGCCTTCACATAACCCAGATTCGTTGTTTTTTTTTTTATATATATATAAATGAAATGATACAGTGTATGTACTCTTTTGTGTCTGGCTTCTCTCATTCAACCTTAAAGTTGTGAAGTTCATCCATACTGTTGCATATACATAGTAGATTATTCATTCTCTTCGCTGTATAGTATTCTGCTGTGGTCCTTTGGCTTATTTTAATGTAACATTGTCAGTATTTTGTCAGTGATCCATGTCTTGGTGTGTTTGGTGTATGTTCCTGCTTTATAAACTCTGTATTTTAAAATGGACCTAAAGAGAAAGTGGAGATTAGAATAGTAAGGTATTCACGTACATTAAAATCAAAGCAGAATGAGCTAGAGCTGGTTAACCTGAAAGAATTTTAAATTCTAGCCCTGGCCGGTTATGCTCAGCGGTTAGAGCACCAGCCTGCGGTCCAGAGAGACCGGTTTGGTTCCTGCTAAGGGCACACATACCTCGGTTGCAGTTTGTCCCCAGCCATAGTTGGTTGTGTGGGTGGCAGCCACTTGATGTGTCCCTTTCATGTCGATGTTTCTTTCCCCTCTCTCTCTCTCTCTCCTACTCTCTCCCTCCCACTCTACCTGAACAAAAAAATGGAAAAATGTCCTCAAGTGAGGATAAAAAAAAAGAGGAATTTTAAATTCCAGATGGAGGCCATTAAACTTTGATTTGAGATTACTTTTTAACCAGAATTAACTAGATTGTGAATAGACAAATCATATTCACATTTAGACTAGAAATCTAATTTCTGTTTAACATCATCACATTTATAGTCCGTTGAAATAAAACTTAATTTCTCCAGCCCTGGCCAGTGTTGCTCAGTTGGTTGGGCATCATCCCATGCACAGAAGGGTTGCTGGTTTGATTCCCAATCAGGGCACATGCCCGGGTTGTAGGCTGCATCTCTGGTAGGAGGTGTGCAGGAGGCAGCTGATCAGTGTTTTGCTCTCACATCAATGTTTTTCCCACTCTCCCTCTTCCTTCTTCTCTCTCTAAAAATCAATAAAAATATATTAAAATTTTTTTTTAAAGAATAGGATAACATTTTTAAAAAACTTAATTTCTCCAATTTCAGGTATCCCTGTGTGTTGATCTTTTTTTTTAATCCTCACCCGAGGATATCTTTCTGTTTATCTTCAGGTAGAGTGGGAGGGAGGGAGGAGGGAGGGGGGGGGGAGAGAGAGAGAGAGAGAGAGAGAGAGAGAGAGAGAGAATATGAATGAATGAGAATGATGCAAAAGAGACGTATCGATTGATTGCCTCCCACACCACTCTACCAGGGCCAAGATGAAATGCCACTGAGGTACATGCCTTTGACTGGAATCGAACCCGAGACTCATTGGTCCACAGGCTGACACTCCAACCTCTAAGCCAAACTGAGCAGGGCCCTATGTGTTGATCTTTGTCCAAATATTATAGGAGTCTGAGCTTGGCAGTATAAATGACTAAGGAAGCTCTATGCCTCGTCCCTCTGGACCAGAGGCTTTTAGAGACTTCATTTAATGGAAAAGGGAGGCACCGTCAATTCTCAAATTTCACCATAAAATGAGAGAACTTCAAGCCATTACCCAGCAAAAGTTGCTTTTTTTTTTTCTGGAACAATTGAGACTCTGTGTACTTTTAAGAACATCTGAGTCCCCCCTAGGTATGTCCCAGGACCCCACATAGAGCTGATCTGGAATTGAAGTGGATCTTCAGTGAGAAACTGAGAAGACTAGTTAAGAACCTGGAAACTTGTCTAGCAGGTTATTGCTAGTGCAGATGAGTACATTTTATTGCTTTGTTACTAGAAGAAAGTTAATGAGCATTTGCACACACACTGCACTAGATCTGTTGATTCAAGCTTCCAGGGACATGAATCTTGGCCCAGAGTACTATGCAGCTCTCTGGGTCTAAAGACTGGTTCTGAGATCACCATCTGGTGGCTTTCTCTGGATATCCAATTCAGTGAAAGAGGGACTCCCAGTGTCAGTTCATCAACCATTATAACACAAAGTGGAAAATTACATCAAGAATATGTTCAGCTATAGTTTCATGTCTGCAAATGAAAGACAGGAGCCCTTTTAAGCAGGAGCAATAATAAAAGTTACTATACTAGGTAGAATCTTAGGATAGTTCTAGTCAAGATGCCATTTTTAGAGAGACACCAATTGAAATCTCATCTCTCAGTCTCTAAATTGCAAGATCTTTATTACAAAGGTAGTACTTAGACAGTTTGACTCCTTGCTTTGATCTGTATATTTCATCCTAATTTGATTAGTTATTTGATGTCATATGAGATCTCATAGTGGTCCATTACTTGAGACTTATAAAAATAGTATTGCATCCTATTTTTACCAGTCTAGAGCAAATTCATGACAATTTACATTACAGATTTAATGCTTCAACCAAGAATAGTACATTCATTTCCACAAGTAACTTGGCAAGTCCCAAAAAGATCCCTTAGTGACTATGTTAAATTAATTATAGAGCACATAGGGAATTAAAGTAAGTGTGAATGAAGGCCATTTTGTCTTATTAAGTGCTCATAAAGCCTATTATCTCATAAGGGTTTTAAGAAGTATACTTTTTTTTGTGTGTGTGGTACGTGCCCCTAGCGGGAACCGAACCTGGGACTCTCTGGTCCACAGGCCGATGCTCAACCGCTGAGCCAAACTGGCCAGGGCAGAAGTATACTTTTTATAAAGCACTTTAATTTCCTGAGGGAAAATTCTCTATAGTTTAAAATGTTACTAGTTTTTACTATACTGTTTTGTTTATCCAGTTCACATTCAGACATGTTTGACTAATCATGTGTGTTAGCTTGAACTCTGTTTTAGGTTCACTTTATAGCAATGTCATAATAATTACAAAAAAAATTTTTTTATTGATATTTAGAGAGAACAGAAGGGAGAGGGGGAGTTAGAAACATTGATGAGAGAGAATTCGATTGCATGCCCCCCACTGGGGATCTAACCCACAACCTGGGCATGTGCCCTGACCACGAATCGAACCAGTGACCTCTTGGTGCATGGGTTGATGCTCAACCACTGAGCCACACCAGCTGGGTATAATTACAAAATTTTAAATCCACATATTTTGCTTTTTCTGAGAAATGTTTTTCTTCTCTTTCAGGTAACAAATATACTCTAGAGACTAGACCAAACCAAGAAGGCATTGATGTAAGACAAGAGCTACTTAAGTTCCATTCTACGTATTATTCATCCAACTTAATGGCTATTTGTGTTTTAGGTCGAGGTAAGAATTCTTAAAATTTTTTCATTGAATTGGATAATACAAGTTTTTCATTTTGGCTTTTTCAAAGTATTTTGACGAAGGATATGTGATATTACCTTTTATCTGCTCAGAAGCTTTTGAAAATGATCTCCTTGTAGAAAAAAAGTTTAGACAATTTTAAATGGAGACCTGAAGAAAATATAAATTAGTCATTGGTGCTCTAAGCATATAAAACAAGGAAAGGAAGTGTAAAGGAAAAGATTGACAGATCTGACCTGATAACATCTCAAAAAACTAGAAAGAATATTAAAAGACAAATGATGATAAGCTGGGAAACTTTGGAATGTAAACAACAAAGCTTTGATTTTTTTTCCCCCCAAACTTCACCCGAGGACATTTTTCCATTTTTTATTCAGATAGAGTGGGAGGGAGAGAGGTAAAGAGAAAGAGAGAGAGAGAGAGGGAGAAACATTGACGTGAAAGGGACACATCGAGTGGTTGCCACCCACATGACCCAACCAGGGCCGGGGACACACTGCAACCAAGGTACGTGCCCCTAGCAGGAACTGAACCCGGGTCTCTGGACCGTAGGCCGACGCTCCAACCGCTGAGCCAAACCGGCCAGGACTGATTTTTTTTAAATGCAAATTAATTAATGATAATATTGTTTTCCCCTATTACCTTAATTTTGGTTTGGGTTCTGTTTTAAGTAATACTCATAATGGAAGAGAGGTACTCTTTTTTTTTTTTTATCCTCACCCGAGGACATTTTTCCATTTTTTGTTCAGAAAGAGTGGGAGTGAGAGAGAGAAAGAGAGAAACATCAACGTGAAAGAGACACATCGAGTGGTTGCCACCTGCAGGACCCAACCAGGGCCAGGGCCAAACTGCTACCGAGGTACGTGCCCGGTAACCGAACCCAGGTATCTCTGAACCGCAGGCCGATGCTCTAACCACTGAGCAAACCAGCCAGGGTAGAGAGGTACTCTTTTGTATTGTTGGTGGTGTATACAATTTATACAATTGCTCCACGCTTTCTAGAAGACAGTTTAACAAGATACATTACCTTTAAAAAGTACATTTTTGCCACCTGGTGCTTACCACAGGCTGTGTTCTTACACTGACTGTATAGAAAGATGAGGCAGAGTAAACCCACCCCATCTACACTTCAGCCCTGGCCCTTTGCCTGGTCTGTATTGTAAATGGGGGGACTTGAGGAGGAGTACATTTTTACTTTTAGAAGCAAATTCTAAGGAAACAATCAGAGTTATTCTAAGAGGTGATGTACAAGGATTTTCTGTCAATATAGTGCTTATTAGTGAAAAGTTAGAAACAATCTAAATGTTTAAAATAGGAGATTGGTTAAAATGGTGACATTATAGCAATATAATAGAGCATTTTATAGAAAATAGTATTCCTTCTCCCACTTTTTGTCCTCCTACCTGCTTTATTTTTCTTCTCTTTCTCTTTTTTTATGTTTTTATTTATTTTTTTAGAGAGAGAGGAAGGGCGAGGGATAGAAAGATAGAAACATCGATGAGAGAGAAACGTCATTCGGCTGCTCCTGCACACTCCACACCGGGGATTGAGCCCACAACCCAGGCATGTGCTCTGACTGGGAATCAAACCAGCGACTTCTTGGTGCATGGGACAATGCTCAGTCCACTGAGCCACACCGACCAGGCTACTTTATTTTTCTTTATAACACTTATTACCACCTGAAATATTAAATATTTGTTTATTGTTGTCTGCTGTACCAGAATTTTGTTCACTGCGTTGTCCCCAATGCCTGGGATAGTGCTTGGGGACAAAGTAGAAAACAAAAGCACTTTCTAAAAACACTATGTGCACCCTGGCCGGTTTTCTGAGTGGTTAGAGCTTCAGCCCACAGACCAAAGAGTCTTGAGTTTGATTCCGGTCAATTGTGGTTCAGTCCCCGGCCCTGGTCAGAGTCATGCAGGAGGCAGCCAGTCAATGTGTCTCTCTCACATCGATCTTTCTCCCCCCCCCCTTCTCCCCCTCTATCTGATGATAAATGGGAAAAAATATCCTCGGGTGAGGATTAAAAAAAAACACTATGTGCTATATGATCCCATTTGTGTATGTAAATTAATTCTAATAGACATAAATGGGAGATATAAGAGAAAGTAGAAAAACGCATGCCAGAAATTTAATAATGTGAGATAGTAGTTAAGAAATCCTCTAGAGTCTGACAGGTTGGATTTGAATTCCAAATAATACCACCTGTTTAGTTGTGTGGCTGTGAGCTAACAAAGTCACTTCAGTTCTCTGAACTTCAGTTTTGCATTGTAAAATGGAGGCGATATCTCCTACGTGTTGTGAGGTTTAATTGAAATAATGCAGAAAATGTTCAATTTAGTGCCAGACACATAGCAAATCGTTCATTAATGGTGGCTGCACTTAGCATCCCATAATGATGAGATTATGAATAACTTTTGTGCTCTTCCACTTTTGTTTTTCTAAGTTTTCTGCTGTTGGCAAATGTTACTTTTGTAGTTAGAAAATAAACAATATGCACAATAGGATATAAAATGGGTCCAATTAGTGAGGGCTAATTAAAAAGTATGCTTTATAATCCTGTGTGTTTTCTTAATGTAGGTAGGTGCAGAGTGTTAAATATTATTGGTATTTGGAGCTAGTCATGGAAATAGATGCTTAAGCTGTATTTTTGTCTATACCATATTGAGATAAAACACATGATTTCAATAAGCATTTATTGGGCAGGTTAATGACAGCAGATTAATCAGTCATGAGTGCTGCCCTGTGTTGTGGTTTAGTGGAAGTTACAGAGTAGTGTCTAAAAGAAACGAGATGTTTCTGTTCCCTGATCGTATATACATCATTCTCCCAGTGTGACTGACCTCTTGGGCTAAGCTCAGTAGACTTGATGAGGGGCCTGGGAGAGGTGTTACGAGGAAGCAGGATCTCTTAGAGGATTAATAGATAATCCATTCCTCCATCTAGGAGAAGGGGAGAGCAAGAGTTACCATGTGGAAGGATCTTTGTCACAAAGGAGAAAAAAGTTTTTCTCTGTTCTCCCATGGAGCCATCCCTCTAGTTGTGGCAGCACTAATTAATTACCTGGACACTTGGCAAATAGGTATCTATCAAATATAGACACTGCGATGCCAAGTTCTAATGATGTAAAGATGAATGAGACTCATTTCCCTGGTCTCTGGTAGCTCACAGCTCAGTGGAAGACAGACTATGCAGTATTGTACAGCTGCCTTACCTTTAAAAAGCTATATTGTGGATTTTGCTTTTAGACTTCGAAATATTCAGAAAGCACACCTGATAAAACCTTTCTCTAAAGGGCTTTGCTGTCATCATCACTTCAAGTCAACAAACGTCTGTTGACTGCCTACCTTGTTTCATGTCCCATGTCCCATCTGTGTCTCTTTCTGTTAGAGATGACATCTCTCACTCCAAATATACCTGCTCCATACCTGAATTCACTTATATAACAGTAACCACTAGTCTGCCTTTTATTTGGCTCTGGACATTTTGGGGTCCTTAATACATGTCAAATTGAAGTAAAAATAATATACGTTTTGTAAATAAAGTGAAAATGCCCACATTTATAGGCCTAGAAGAGAATTTCAGACTATATAAAGACAGTTCTCAAAAATAGTAATTAAATACTCTCTAGAGAATTCATGGAAAAGTTCAAAATGGGTCATAGAACATCAAGGGAAATTTCTTATTTGATCCAAATGCTTCCTGACAGTAACAAGTGGTGAATGTTTATACCATTTATAAGTAACCTATTTTTGAGGAGACAGAATCAAGGTGAGTGGTTATCTTTTTTATAAAAAGATAACCTTTTTTCACTTTTTCCTTTTTAGAATAATAATAATGTCTGTACATGGAAAAAATTTCATCTGACACTAAAACATATAAAATGGACATCAAGTTCTTCTTCCTCATCTTATCTTGTGACCACTATACCTTCTCCCCAAAGATAGTCATCTTAATTAAAAAAAAAAAAGCCCAGGCAATGTGGCTCAGTGGTTGAGTGTCAACCCATGCACCAAGAGGTTGCTAGTTTGATTTCCAGTCAGGACACATGCCCAAGTTGTGGGCCTGATCCCCACTGGGGGGGTGCAGGAGGTAGCTAATCGATGTTCTCTCTCATTGATGTTTCTCTCCCTCTCTCAATTCCTTTCTCTCTAAAATCAATAAAGGAAAAAATAAATTTAAAAAAATAAATAAAATGAATGTCACACAATCTGTCAGTTGATGGTTTAGTATGGGAATCATAGATAAAATTGTCATTTTCCAAATGCAACTAATTATTATTGTCTCTAAATGTATTGCAAGATAACATTTGTGTAACAGTTTCTTAAACTATAAAGAGGCAGACATGAAGTATAACCATTATCAATATTGCTTATCAGCTTTAGAAGTTACATAGGCACTGGTAAGACTTAACTGAGTGCTTCAATTTTTTCTGAAGCAGTTTTTTTTTTTGATTATAGGTTTTCCTTTTAATAGTCCTGAGTTTTATCAGGAGATCCTGAGGTTTTTTTCTCTGCTTTATTGAGGTATAACTGACATACAACATTGCATAAGTTTAAGGTGTATGACATGATTTTATATATGTATATGTGATCCTGAGGTCTTAAACACTACTTGTCATATGTTATGATTAGGTTAAGTTCTGTTTTCCTCATCTCTTTTCTTGTAGAATCTTTAGATGACTTGACTGATCTGGTGGTAAGGTTATTTTCTGAAGTAGAGAATAAAAATGTCCCATTGCCAGAATTCCCTGAACATCCTTTTCAAGAAGAACATCTTAGAGTAAGTGCATGTATTTCTGGTTTGTTTTGTTTTTCAAATTTATGGACTTATATGTACCCACTTTACCAAAGAATAGATGGAAAATTTTGAAGGTTTCATTATTTATATAGTTTTTAATATTTGGATAATCAGTTTCACATTATTAGGGACATGTATCACCAAAAAGATACTAATATAATCAGATCTTTGCATGCTAAAGGTAGTTTTGGTAGCTATAACCTTGGCATACTGTAAAAGCTATGATCCAGTGCCAGAAGGCAAGCATCTGGAAATATTTAGCTGCATGGTCCAGAGGACAAAACATGGACTTTACACCAACTGTAATGACATTCCAGTAAGAAAGAGGCCAGGTCATTATTTCTTTATGGTTAGTGTGAATTTCTTTGGCAGTTGATTCTCTCTTGAATTTGGAATTCTTCTATGAAAATCAGTATTCTTCATAATTTATAAATATTTTATTCAGTGGGTGTTATATGAAGCGAATCTTTTGTGATTTGTTTGTTTTATTCCCCACAGCAAATTTACAAAATAGTACCTATTAAAGATATTAGGAATCTTTATGTGACATTTCCCATACCTGACCTTCAGAAATACTACAAATCAAATCCTGGTCATTATCTTGGTCATCTCATTGGGCATGAAGGTCCTGGAAGTCTGTTATCAGAACTTAAATCAAAGGGTAAGTCTCTTGGGTGCCAGCTTCTGAGCATAGTACCCCACCATATCTTTTTACTCTGGTTCTCATTTTCTCCTATATATTTTCCTGTGAAAGAACATTTTTGGGTGAGAGACTGTTTTGGTGTATGGGGGACAGAGATGGTAGTTGTTAAGCATGCTTAGTTTTTTGCTTTGGGTTCTTTTTTTCCCCCTTTTCATAATTTGTTTCACCTTTCAGCATTGAGCAGTAAAGGTTAGGTAGTTCATAAGATATTGTGGTGAATATTTTAAATTTAAAAAGAGGTTAAAAGTATAAACTGACATTGGATATTTTTTACTATCTCTGTGAAGTGTCAGTACCCATTATTTATTTGCCTGCTGTTATCCTTCAAATCAGAGCATGTGCAGGGATCTAGTCCATAAATGATTTCCAAGGCCTCTCTCAACCCAGGCTTCGCTTTTCCATACACTTAACAGAGTAGTTTACTCTTGATTTGGGAATTGATTTGAGGAGTCCTGAAGAAAGCTTCTAATCCCCCAAAATCCCGTGATTTTTTTGCAGTATCTGAAACTAGTTTTCTGAACTTTTTTCTGGTACATATTTTTTTCTGGTCTTTTCTGCAAATGTCCATTCTAATCTTTTGGGAACATATAATATGAATTTTAAAAAAAATTTGTTGTCCTAAAGGAGGCCACACATGCAATCATGTTATTTCCATTGAATGTTACAGGCTGGGTAAATACTCTTGTTGGTGGGCAGAAGGAAGGAGCCCGAGGTTTTATGTTTTTTATCATTAATGTGGACTTGACTGAGGAAGGATTATGTAAGTATTAACTTTTTTGTCTTTGAATGAAAACTGACTTTGTATGATTTTTTTTTTAAAACTTCTTTATGCTGTGGATCTGTTTTATGTTGTAAAGTTATAAACACTTTAATTCATACATTGTATTTTTCATATGTAATGTGCCCTTTGTTTCATGGATGATTTTTCCCAATTTAACATCTGATCATTATGTTGCATGTGTAAAGTGTGTACTTGGCTTTTCATTTGCTCATTTACTACCCCAGAGCCCATTTTGTCACATATCCCAGAGCCTGGAGGGCCTTGTGTATGGGACCCTAAAACCCATCTCAGGGCGGTGAGAACTCCATTTCGCAGAGGGACCATCTTCTATTTACCTGACTTTACATTAGGAGTGAGCTCACTGCTTTAAAGGATTTGAGGACTGAATGGTTTTTAAGTGTGCCCCTTTTTTCCAGTACATGTTGAAGATATAATTTTGCACATGTTTCAATACATTCAGAAGTTACGTGCAGAAGGACCTCAAGAATGGGTTTTCCAAGAGTGCAAGGTACTTTTGTTTCACCAAAATTCTTCTTAAGGAAAATTTTCAGAAAACATATATGTGAATTAATTTAAATTTAAGGCCCAGTGAAACCTTTTAAGTATTTTTTTCCCTAATCTAAATAAAACTTGGCAGTGCATAGTAGCTTTAGTTAAGACTCAGTTGAACTAGTCTGTTTGGCTGCCTGGAGCACAATTGAGGGTTAAGACACCATATAGCCTTTTTCAGGAGAGAAAAGAGAAGAAATTGGTTTGCTTTTCTGTCCCTCAGAAGAATGATAGCAGTTTCTCGAACTTGTGTCAGGGCTTACTTAACTGTGTCTGAAGCCGCATGGGCTCTGTCTTTTGCAGATCTGGTAATACAAATCTGTAGCAAACTTGCAATAGTGAATTGTCTTATATATGACTGTGGTCTTTTTTGTGTTTTTTTTTTATCCTCACCTGAGGACATTTTTCATTTTTTGTTCATAGAGTGGGAGGGAGAGAGAGGAAGAGAGAGAGAAACATCGATGTGAAAGGGACACATCGAGTGGTTGCCACCCGCACGACCAACCAGGGCCGGGGACAAACCGCAACCGAGGCACGCATCCTTAGCGGGAACCGAACCTGGGTCTCTCTGGACCTCAGGCCGACGCTCTAACCGCTGAGCCAAACCGGCCAGGGCTGACTGTGGTCTTAAGAGTGATTTTATTGTTTACAAATGGAAAAGCCTGGCCATCTCTCTCTCTTTTTTTTGTGCATGAAACAAAAGGTATTTGTCTTTCAAAATTTTAGACTTCTTTTTAAGTGGCTATACTTTATATTTAGGACCTATCAAAATTCTGAAATGTATTTTAGGATGAGAAACATCATTTTTACCTAGGTAAAAGTTTCAAGGTATAATCTCAGTGAAATTTACAATACTTCAAATCTGGGTGCAATTCTCTGAATGGGTCAACAGAATTATCATCTATGCAGCTAACTGTTGGATCTCACAAGGTTCTTCCACACAGTTTTCCTAATTATTTGTTATTTTCATTCATGTTCTATACATTTCTAAATCAAGCATTGTCATTTTTTCAGAAAGTATAATGAAGTTAAGTATGGAATAGAAAACCTATAGTGCAAACCAAACACACTCGAAAAAGGTATTTTAAAATAATAGTTGACTTATGTCTAATTGGGTTAATTTTCCATTTTAGGATTTGAATGCTGTTGCTTTTAGATTTAAAGATAAAGAGAGGCCACGGGGCTATACCTCTAAGATTGCGGGAATATTGCATGTAAGTTTGCTATTATTTTACTGTATATATTGGTGAGTAGAATATTTCAATGATCCCGCATCTCTTACTTTCAAACTGCACGAATGATAAAAATTAAAACTGCTCATTACATGAATGATAAAAATTAAAGCTGTAAATTTTAGACTTTTTAGCAACCTGGCAAACTTTGACATCAAGACATGCTTAAAATCTTAACTTTTATCTCCTTAAAAATTGTCATCTATAATATTTTTCATTACATAGGCATTTTGCTTATTGGCTTTAAATATTTTTCAACTCCACAATGTGTCAATTGCTAATTATATGGAGGCTATAGATCATTTATTTACTTTTCTTCATTTTTATTGTTACCACCCTAGTCTGAGCTACTTTATTTCTTGCCTGGACTACCAGTGGACTTACCTGTGTTTCCTATTTTCCTTCTCATCCTCACTATATATTTTTCCAGTTTCGGTAATTTTTTTTTTTATCCTCACCCGAGGACTTTTTTCCATTTTTTGTTCAGTTAGAGCAAGAGGGAGAGAGAGGAAGAGAGAGAGAAAATCGACGTGAAAGGGACACATTGAATGGCTGCCTCCTGCACGACCCAACCAGGGCCAGGGACAAACTGCAACCGAGATACGTGCCCTTAGCGGGAACCGAACCCGGGTCTCTCTGGACCACAGGCCTATGCTCTAACCGCTGAGCCAAACCGGCCAGGGCGGTAATCTTTTTCTAAAAAATATTATTTTATCGATTTTTTTTTTTTTTTTAGAGAAAGAGGAAGGGAGAGAGAGATTGAAACATCAGTGTGAGAGAGAAACATCAGTCAGCTGCCTCCTGCACACCCTTTACTGGGAATCAAGCCTGCAGCCTGAGCATGTGCCCTGACCAGGAATCTAACTGGCACCTCTCAGTCCATGGGATGACACTCAATCCACTGAGCCACACCGGCTGGGCCATCTTTTGAAAACCAAAATTAGATTGTTTCGCTCCCTTGTGTCAAGTCCTTCAGTGGTTTCCCATCAGAGTTGGAACAAAATCCACAACTTTCCCTTAGCCTTCAAGATGATCTGGCCCCAGCCTCTCTCTGACCATATTACTGCCCCCCACATCCTACCTTCCCATTTATTCCCATTTTACTCCAATGATACTGTTTGCCCAATCTTCCAAAATTAAGTTTATTCATCCACCTTATATTTTGTGTTTTCTCTACCTGGAACACTCTCTGATCTTTGCATGTCTGTGTTCTTCTTATCCTTTGGGTCTCTGCTCAGATGTCTCCTCCTCAGAGAAACCTTCTCTGACCTCCCAGTCATGTCCCTGTCCCTTTTTAATTTTCTTCATAGCACCTGTCAATATAATGACAGTATTTATTTATTGTCTGTCTCCTTCCCAGTTACAATATAAGCTCTCTTGAGAGCAGGAACATCATCTGTGTTATCTACCACTGTATTCATAGCAGCACCTAGAACAGAGCCTGGTATAGAGTAGGTGTTCGTTAAATACTTGTCAAATGAATGGATCAGTCCGTCTGTCTCAGTATATTGGAAGTTGCTCTTACTAAAGAGTATCTCCTACCTTATTTTTCTTCACTAGCCAAACATATAAGCCATTTTCCCCCACAACAACTTTATAAATGTTTGTCTGATTTCATTCAATTTGAGAGGAAATTTTGTTCATAAAAATGTCTTACCTTTCTACTAAGAATCCTATAGATGTCAGCATTTAACCATCACATTTTCTCCATTAACAAGCGCTCAGTTTTTAGGCAGAAATATTACATTTTTTCCCCTGGAAAAAAATTGTGATTTTTTTTTTCTTCTCTATAATGTAAGTGTATTTGGGCATTAACTACAAAGTCATACCATCATATGATACTGTTTAAAATGTGGTGTGAAAGAGAAAAGATTGAGAAATTTTTTTAGTAGAGTAAAATTTAATGGAGGGAAAGAGGGGGTATAAAATAATGGATTTCATTTACTATATATCTGATAGCTTTTTAATGAAATTAGCCTTGGACTTTATTTATTTATTTGTTTGTTTTAAAGTATTATCCCCTAGAAGAAGTGCTCACAGCTGAATATTTACTGGAAGAATTTAGACCTGATTTAATAGAGATGGTTCTCGATAAACTCAGACCAGAAAATGTCCGGTGAGTCACTCTACAGATTTTACTGTTACATACTAAATTGTCTATAATGATCAGAATCTGAATTTGAAATTGTGAATAAAATGCTTTAAAACTTTTTATCGGGCATGATTACAAAGTAGAGGTAATAAGGCAATATACCAATACCAAGCTTCAACAGTCAGGACATGACCAGTCTTTTTACCTTTACCTACCCCTATTCATTTATCCTGCCTCCACCCTAAATATTTCTAGGCAAATCTCTAAAACATGAAGATTCTATCATGAATAAAATATAATAATAGATCATCTTAACCTGGCTTTATCCTAACTCAAATGCCCAACGTATCAGCTCACCTATCTGTTTTTATAAGCAAGTGAGGGCACCCTCTTTTTTTTTTAAGGATTACAATCTCAGAGTTCTGACCAACAAGTGGTCAACCAGGAGGAGCTTCTACAGTTACAGAGGTATTACTGTTATAGGAGAGTCGTCCCCAAAGAGATTATGAGCTACCACGTAATATTTCTGCCTTAAAATTGAGTTTCATTTATATCTTTCTAAAGTCAAATAATAGAAAGAATATACTTGACAGGCGCATACTTTGCAATTTTAATTTTTCTCCTCTGTCAATGACATATTTCCAAAATTCTCCTGGGAACTTAACGATTGGGTAAATTTGCTTTTGACACAATCATTTTATGAATAAAATAAATTATCTGGTAGAACTTTTTATAGAAAAAAATCTTTCTAACAGAACTATTCTATCAAAGTCTTTTTTCTAGTTACCTTTGAACTTTTCCACACATATACTAGCAACAAACAATGGGGAAATTTAAATAAAATAAATATTATTGGTGGTTATACAATTCTGTACAAGTGATAAAATGACATAGAGCTATATATACACACTATACCAATACCAATTTCCTAGTTTTGATGTTGTACTATGATTATGAAGATGTAACCATTAAGAGAAACTAGGTGAAGAGTGCACAGGACCTCCCTGTACTATTTTTGTAACATCCTATACATTTACAGTTATGTCAAAATGAAAATATTTTAAAAATTAAAACAATTATTTATAATTTAGAACAAAATCATAAAATACTTAGGAGTGAATTTGACAAATTAAACAAGACCTACACAAAAAAATACAAAATAGTGCCAAGAGAAATTAAAGACCTTGTGCAGAGAGTAGGAGGCTCTATGTTATCAAGAAGTCAGTTTTCTCCAATCTGATTCATAGATTCGGTGTAATCACAATAAAAATCCTAGTAGCCTTTTTTTTCCTTTAGAAATTGGTAAGGTGATTTCAGAATTCATGTGGATATACAAAGGACCTAGATTTGCCAAAACACTCTAGTACAAAAAACAAAAGTTGGAGGACTTAAATTATTGGATTTGAAGACTTACTATAATGCTACAGTGATTAAGACATAGTAGTATTGGCATAAGGATAGACAAAGAAATCATTAAAATAGAACAGAGAATCCAGAAATAGGCCCCACATATATGGTCAATTGAGTTCTTTTTATTGTAAACACCACACAACGTAAAATTTATCATCTTAACCATTTTTTTTTTTTATTCTTACCTGAGGACTTTTTTCCATTTTTCTATTTTATTTTATTTTTTTTATTTTAGTTTAGTTTTTTATCCTCACCCGGGGACATTTTTTTCCCATTTTTTATTCAGATAGAGCAGGAGGGAGAGAGAGAAACATTGATGTGAAAGGGACACATTGAGTGGCTGCCACCCGCACGACCTAACCAGGGCCGGGGACAAACTGCAACCTAAGTACATGCCCTTAGCGGGAACAGAACCCCAGTCCCTCTGGACCACAGGCTGATGCTCTAACCGCTGAGCCAAATCGGCCAGGGCCATCTTAACCATTTTTTAAGTGATTCAGAATGTTAAGTATATTGGTATTGTTATGAAACAGATCTCTAGAACTTTTTCATCTTGCAAAACTAAGATGGCACCCATTAAACAACTCCTTTTCCCCTCCCACCATCCCTTGGTTATTACCATTCTACTTTCTGTTTCTATGAATTTGACTACTTAGATACCTAATATAAGTGGAATAATACAACATGTCTTAATTTCACTTAGCATAATGTTAAATTTTTCTTCTTTTTTAATGCTGCATAATATTCCATAATAATCCGTCATTGGTCATTGGACTTTTTTTTTTTTACAAAGGCACCAACATAATGAAATTGGGAAAGTCTTTTCAACAAATGGTTCTCTTCCATTTTCCATCATCCATATGGGAAAAAAGGAAGCTTGACCTTTACCTTACACCACTCAGCAAAAATTAATTTGAAATAGATTATAGACCTAAGTATAAAAGCTAAAACTATAAAACTTCCAGAAGAAAACAAAGGAAAATATCTTTAAAACCTTGAGAGACACAAAGATTTTTTTAAAAGCATAAAGAGCAGTAACCATTAAAGAAAAAACATCGATAAATTAGACTTTATAGAGATAAAAACTTCTGCTCAGGGTAATCTATGCATTTGTGAACATGATTAAAATATATTAAAGAAAAAACTCAGAGTACATACTAAATCATTTAAGGCAGGTAAAACAGTTTAAATATTTGTATTTCCTCAATGTGGCTATACATTCTAAAAAAAAAAAAAAAATCAACCTAAATCCTGCTGAATTTTATTACAGACCTTCTAAAACAAAACCTTTCAGAACAGGAAGAAAGAACTTTAAACTTAGTAATAGAACTTACCAGACACTTGTTAAGGTTTCTTTTAGTGACTAGTTATGTGTGGTTTTATCACTTGCTAGCCATAAGATTTTGGACAGATCATTTTTTTCATCAGCCAGTTTTGTTTTTTAATTTTAGCCCGAGGATATTTTTGCATTTATCTTCATATAGAGCCGGAGGGAAGAGAGAAAGAGAAACTTCGATGTGAGAGAGACACATCAACTGGTTGCCACCTACATGATCCCAACTGGGGCCAGGGACAAACTGCAACCAAGGTACATGCCCTTAGCAGGAACCGAATCCGGGACTCTGGTCCACGGGCCAATGCTCTAACTGCTGAGCCAAACTGGCCAGGGCAGCCAGTTTTTATTGAATAATTAATGTGAAACTTCAGAGGTCATCAGCCTGCAAAGGGGACATGGGAAAAGTTAACTTTATAGAATGTCATGAACATTGACTCTCATTTAATTTCCTTGAAATTTGCCCATATGCAAAATAGCATTAGTACTTTATCTTTCTATCTGATGCAAAATGAGTTAGCAAAGTTGAACAGTGTTGTGCAAATACAAGGTAATGCTGATCAAATTATATAAGGATGTGCTTTTTTTGCAAGAAAAATTTATTTAAAATATATTCATATAATTCTTGTTGTTCTACAGCCAGTAATTTGACCTAGCAATGCTTTGTAGGAGTGAATTTGCAGGAGCATGCATTTTATTTTTGTTTAAATTGCCTGTTTCTGAATTTGGTATCATTTGCAATTAGAGTTGAGAACCTTTCTTTCTCTCTTTCTTTGAAGAAAAAGCACTTTTTCTACATAGGATTGGTTTCTGTGGCTGTTATAATGTAACTTGCAGCAGGTCAGAGTTAGAGCACAGAACAACCTGGATACAGCTGTCAGGCCAGAATGGCATTGCTCAGGGGTAGGATTTTTCTTAATAAGCACTGAGACAAGTTTAACATTGTAACCAAGTAGGAAAATCCTTCAGAATGAAAGGAACCTTAGAGGTGATATAATCCAATTTCCATCAAGTGTGTATCTCTTCTGCAGTATCTCCAAGTAGTTACCAGCCTCAGTTTAAATTCCTCCAAGGATGGGGAGCATATTAACTACCAAGGTACCCAGTTCCATTTTGCCAGTCCTAATTGTTAGAAAGTCCTTTTCAATACTGAGACTTGATTTACCTTTTCAAAGATGTTTTCCTGTTACTACTCCATCATTATCATCACCCACTGCCTTTGATCCAATCATTTGGGGCCCATTTTACCATATTAAACCTACAAATACTGTTATAGGGTCTTTTCCACATACTTTGTTTAAGTCATAAATAAATCCATTCATTTGGGAGGAGTTATTTGATGAATCCATGCAGGTCTTAGTGATAACTGTCTTATCTAAATGTTTGACAGTGTGACAGTTGACTGTAATTTTATCAGTGCATAATCCAGTGGTTTTTAGGCTCCAAACCTTTCTGATTCTGAAAATCAGAGCATTTGCATGTCTCCAGGCTTCTGCCTCTTCTCCTGTCTGCCAGTATTTCTAAAAGGTAATGTGCAGTAACCCTACTGGGATTTGTTAGTTGCCTAAGCATCAGAGAATGCAACTCATGTGTGTTAGAGTTGTGAATTCATTTTAATCCTTTGGCTTCAACTCCTTTTTTCTGTTGTTCGGTTCACCTTTGCAGTTCAAAGACCCATGTTTCTTTCAAAGACCATATAAATAAAAGATCAGTAGTCCTGTCATCTGCTGACATGAAATCAGCATATCACATTTTGCTTTTTAGGTCATGTGTCCTATTGGATTGAGTTTCTTCAAGTAGGAACTGTATTTTATCTTTCCCAGAATTCAAGCTGTTAGGGCTCAGTAAAAGTCGATTGAATTCTCTAAGCTTTTAGCCTAGCCTTTCTTGATTTTTTTTTCTTACTTTAAGAAACCCCTTTCTTAGCATTTTTCATGAACCTCAATTTCTTCAGTACCTTTAGCCTTCCTGTCAGTTCTTTAAGTTTGATTTTTGAATCTCATCAATAGAATTTTTTTCACATTCTTTCTTCTGTATGTATCTATTAAAAATAAGATTTGATATCATGATATTATAGAGTTCTACTAGTGGAAGGATAGAGTTCTTGTAGTTTGAATTCTTATTTGAAAAGTAATGAAACTAGAGCCCAGAGACTTGCCTAATTTAGATTTTAACCTTGATTTTGGCAAGATCTCAAAGAACATGAGTCATTGGTATCATCCAGAATCCAGGTTTCTAATGGCCAGGTCTGTGCCCTTTCTGCTAATTCTGTTTGAATTTATCACAAATTACTTGTGAAGCTTCTCCTCATTCTTGGATGTTTTCCACCTCTTCTCTCTCAAAAGTCTCATGAGAATTCATTCTTTGAGAACCATTTTGCTGTTTAGTGTCTATAGTCGGGACACACTGTCTTTGAATGGGTCCCATCCAGTTCCAACAGCTTTTCATTCTCTTGGAACATTTCTAAATGGCTGACTTGAAGTCAGCAGTTATCATTCATTCTAGCTCACTGTTTCCTTTTCTCACTGTTGTAAGTTTCAGTATGAAAAGAAAAGGTCATTTCCTCTCATATTTCTTTTTCTTTTTAAAAAATTTTTTCTTTATTGATTTTAGAGAGAGAGGAAGAAAGAATGAGAGAAAGATAGAAACATCAATGAGAGAGAACATCGATTGAGTGCCTCCTGCATGCTTCCCACTGGGGATCGGGTCTACAACCTGGGCATGTGCCCTGACCGGGAATCAAACTGGTGACCTCTTGGTGCGTAGGTCAACGCTCAACCACTGAGCCACACCAGCTGGGCCTTCTCTCATATTTCTAAGGATCATGTCAGTACCATATCAGTATTGAATTCTTTGTGAAGAGAATTAAAGGAAAGAATAGCATTGCCACACACACCCACACACAATGCAATTTAAGAAAACGCTCATCAAGACTGGTTTTTAGCATAATTAGAGTTCCAGCAGATAGTCTAAGATGCTCCAGTGTCAGTGCCAGTTTTTCTCAGCTGTCTGTAGTTAAATGTACTGCAGCTATCTGTGTCATACTTTGATTGTTGTGACATCTGACTTCTCCTAATTCAAGTGCTCTTATGCTTCCACAGTCTGGTTCAGAGATCTTGAGGTGGTATACTCTGTCTCTATTGTTATTCCCCTTCCCTACCTTCTATAATTTATTTATTTATTTTTTTATCCTCACCTGAGGACATTTTTCCATTTTTTTGTTCAGATAGAGTGGGAGGGAGAGAGAGGGGGAGAGAGAGAGAGAGAGAGAGTGAGAGAGAGTGAGAGAGAGAGAAACATCGACACGAAAGGGACACATCGAGAGGCTGCCACCCTCACGACCAACCAGGGCTGGGGACACACTGCAACTGAGGTACGTGCCCTTAATGGGAACCGAACCCAGGTCCCTCTGGATTGTAGGCCGACGCTCTAACCGCTGAACCACACTGGCCAGGGCTATTATTTATTTTTTAATACATACTCTACCATTGTACATTTCAGTTTTGAAGTCCTCAATGGTACATGACTGTCAGTCTACAAAGATGTCTCTTTGTGATAGGCACATATTTGATATTTGCCTAGTTTGAGGAATTATGTTTATCTAATTCATATTTACATCTTAGGATAAGATTTCAAATGTTACCCACAGACTTTACTATGGTATATGACTATCTAAACCCCTTCGGATTGTATCCTTCTCCCCCAACTGTTTAGCCTGGGCATTCCTGCACAGCCTCTGGTGTCTGTGTCTTTCTGTGTCACAGAGTCATCCTCCCAGGGCACTTGGCAGCTGTCCCGGAGCTCTTTCATTTTCTCTCTCACAACTGAGTTTAAATTTTCTTGTTTCAGAGGGCAAGTCCACTGTCAAATGAATGGTTCAGTCTTCACAAGTTATAATCAGTCTCTTGTCCATTATGCTGATGTATGGGCTCTCATTCAGGGAAATCAAAGGTGTTTATGTAACAAATGTTTGAAGAATCAAGTGTCTCATAGACGAGACGATGGGAGGGAATGTCACCTCTCTACCAGTTTATTCCACTTCTTAACACATTTTCAGAGGTCTTCTTATGAATTAGTCCATTCATTCTTTGAGAAGTCAGCAGGAGTGGAAGCAGTTTCTAGGGCTGAGTTTTAGCAGGCTCTTGCTCTGTCGTGTATTAAATGAATGCCCTTAAGAAACATGGTGTGAGTTCTGTGCATACTCTACACATACCCCTCCAAAGGGATTCTCAAACTGCCAACATGCATCACTTCTGGGCATGATAACAGAACTCTTTCATTTGATAAACCTTAAGATTCCTCTCTGAGTTTCTGTGGAACATATTCTTATTTAGCATGTTTTCTAGAACTGGTAGTGGTCAGTGGCAGCAAAGCCAGATCAGCAACTCCATGACCAGGAAGGTTAGTCAGTCATACTAACAGATAGGTTAATTAGGTTGATCATGATTATCTACCCTTAAGCAGGTGATAAGGCCAAGTCCAGTTAGCTGAGTAGAGTATTTTGCCTAAAATAAGAAATAGGTGGTTGTTCAGACAGTCAGACATTGACCTTGGGTAGCTCCAGTGAGGGTCAGGTATTTGGAACACAGAGATTAGGATTCTGAAAATGGATGGTTATTCAGTAAAGGAGAGTTTTGATTATAAGTACTGGACTTTCTGTTCTGGACCAACATTCAGAGGCTAGAACCAAGCTTTGGGAGGACAGATGAGAAAAAGCAGGAAGAGAAATGACCTAGTTATTTGAATTGGGACATAAAGGAGAAGTGGAACCAATAACAGACTGACTTCATGGCAAGCCATCCAAGCTTTTGGCCTAGGACTCATATATCCACAAGATTCAGGATAGGATTGTTCCCAGAAGAGGAATGGTCTCAGCATAGGGTCAAGTGTGCTGGTAGGAGCGTAATGATTCCAACTTTGATCATTAAAAGGCAGCAGGGGCAGAAATGTCTCTGATAATTTTTCACAGGGACAGGAGCTCCACTGGAACAGAGCTTCTTTTGCTCTTCTACTTGTACTCTTTGGTTCACTTACCTCTTTTTTTTTTTTTTTTTTAACAAATTTTTAAAATATATTTTTATTGATTTTTTTCTAGAGAGAGGTAGAAACATCGATGTGAGAGAGATACATTGATCAGCTGCCTCCTGCATGCCCCTTACTGGGGATCGAACCTGCAACCCGGGCATGTGCCTCTCAGTCCACGGGACAGCACTCAGTCCACTGAGCCATACCAACTGGGCTGTTCACTTACCTCTTCACATCATTTCCTTCCCTGACCTTTTTTTTCCCTCTGACTTCTGGGCTGTTTCTATTATCCCATCAAAGAAAGCTTTTAATAAGCCAGAAGATGGAGAGGTACTTCTTGGTCTTGTCCTCTTCTCCCCTAGCAGCAGGAAGGCTAATGTACATTTAGTGGGCATATTGGATGCTAGTCTCTGGCAGGAAAAACAAAAAAACCATAGAGCACAAATTTAGCAAGTAATAATAAAAGTGTTTTTGGCTTTTTGGATCTCTGGATGAGCCAGTAGGTTTATTCAGCCATTTTTGTTAACCCCAGACCTAAGCTGTTACTGGAAAGAAGTACTTTGTTTTGCTTTTTTAAGGACTATTTTCTAACTGACCTTGTTTTATTTCTTTTCCTAGTCACTACTCTTTTAAAATTTTAGTCAATAGCATGCCCACAAGAAGCTTTTCTGCAAAAACCTTTTTCCACTAAAAATGATGGGCCATACCCAAAGGATGTAGAGACTATGATCAGCAACCTCTATATATACATTGCCTGTTTCAGCTACACCTTATTGGATTTTCTGGGTCTTAAAGGCTCAACACATTCTTGGACATTATTTACATTTTCTCTTTTTTTGTTTTATCCTCACCCGAGGACATTTTTCCACCTTCCGTGCAGGTAGAGTGGGAGGGAGAGAGAGGAACAGAGAGAGAGAGAGAAACATCGATGTGAAAGGAACACATCGAGTGGCTGCCACCCGCAAAACCGACCAGGGCCGGGGACAAACTGCAACCGAGGTATGCGCCCTTAGCGGGAACCGAACCCAGGTCTCTCAGGACCGCAGGCCGACGTTCTAACCGCTGAACCAAACCGGCCAGGGCCATTATTTACATTTTCATGAGTCAGGTTCTATAAATGTATATATACAACGTGAGTTTATAGGTGTTTTTCTCTTTTTTCCCCCATCTATCTCTAGGGTTGCAATAGTTTCCAAATCTTTTGAAGGAAAAACTGATCGCACAGAACAATGGTATGGAACCCACTACAAACAAGAAGCTATACCAGATGAAGTCATTAAGGTATGGTTAACTCATCTGTGAATAAGTCTGATGTGTGAGGGACACACAAAAACATGAGCTCCCTAGATCACCCATCTCACAGCCCAGGGTATAAAGAGTGATAGTCCAGTGCTGCCTGTCCTATTGTGAGAGGAGTGAACGGGGAGAGGGAGAGCTACATCTTAGGTTTTGCATGAAGGAATGGCACTGTGGCCACCTTCTTATGTGTCTGTCAGACCAGCAGGGCTGTCAGCAGACTTCCAGCCTCATTCAGTAAAAGATCATTGAAGTCTAAAGTACACAGAGAAGCAAAGATAGCATGACAGGCAGGAAGAGATGGGAATAGGGAGCCTGAAAGAGAAATGCAAGGGCTCCAGAGAACTCACAGTCTTGCTGGGAACAGAGGCGGGAGCAGTCTCTGGGATTCATACTGTCTTCACTTGAGGTGCTGTATTTTATGCCTCATGTTACATAATTGCTCTTTTTGTCAACTTAGGGGAATTAGGATTGGTTTTAAAACAGGTATGTTTAGGTAGTATGTTACCCCATTCATCAGTATTCAAGGTTCTGTTTGTGAGTCCTATCTACTTGTCTAGTACTTTTTCTTTTTCAGTTTTTATTGGCTGTGTAGCTTTGGGATTGTGTCCTTTATTCATGGGAAGACACCAGAAAGGTTTACTCTGATTAGATTGTAGTTAAACTCGAGTAATGGACATTTCTTAAATGTACCTGTGTAATGATGATATGGGGAAAAAAAGAAACAGTTTAAGAGAGAAAATCGTTACTGGTACTTTATGGCACAGAAAGAGGTCACTGGAGCCCCATCTTGCTAAACCGTGAGGAAAGTTGATCACCTATGAATTAGTGCCGGGTTTGAACTAATCCTAAAATAAGAATGAACCCCTATTCACTCAATTTTGACCAGGACAATCTGCCCTGCATGGGAATTTAAAAAAACAAATCTGTCCAGGAGCTCAGCAGTAAATTGCTTGCGAAGTATTTACCAGTTTCTATTATTCAGCCACTCTAGAGACTTAAGTTGCTGCTTATAAATAATATGACCAACATCCTTACGATCCCTGTGCCAAAAGACACAAATGCAGGGACCAAAATAGAATTGTAGAAGTTGCCAGGCTGTGCCACATCACCTGGAGACCAAATTATTGAACCCGGAATTATTGGCAGTTGGTTGCTTTTTATTTCCTTTTCAAATAATGAAAAGTCTGATAAATTAGAGTTCAGTAGTCAGTGGCCTGTGATCTGTCTCACTTAGCTTTTGGCACCAGTTCATGGAACAGATCCAGCCTGCAGGTTGTCAGCTCTGTCCCACCACCCAAACTTACATCACAACTTTGTCCTTAACCCAGTGCTTGAATTACTGCTTCCCTTGGAAGTTTGTGTGGTCATCTGGGAGAGGTGTGGGCCTAAAGCAGCACTGAAGTGGAAGAAGCCCTGTTTAGCCTAGTTTTCAGGCCATACATGCAAGTAACTTGGTGTAGCTGAAATGTTTTTTAATATGTTTTTATTGATTTTTTTAGAGCAGTGGTTCTCAACCTTCCTAATGCCGTGACCCTTTAATACAGTTCCTCATGTGTGGTGACCCCTAGTCATAAAATTATTTTTGTTGCTACTTCATAACTCTAATTTTGTTACTGTTATGTCTCAAGCGATCCCTGTAAAACGGTCGTTAGACCCCCAGAGGGGTTGCGACCCACAGGTTGAGACCCACTGTTTTAGAGAGAGAGAGAGAGAGAGAAACATCTATATGAAAGAGAAACATCAATCGGCTACCTCCTGCAAGTCCCCTAATGGGGTTTGAGCCCGCAACCCAGGCATGTGCCCTCACCAGGAATTGAACTGGGACCTCTCAGTCCATGGGACGCCACTCAGTCCACTGAACCACACCGGCCGGACAATATAGCTAAAATTTTAACTTTCATATCAGTGACCTATTACCTCACAGTTGTGGCAAATATCCCTGTACAGATTATTCTTCATTCTTTTGTTGTTGTTGTTAATCCTTACCCAAAGATATTTTTTTCATTGAATTGTAAAGAGCGTGGAAGGGAGGGAGGGGGAGAGAGACAGACAGAGAGAGAAACATCTGTGTGAGAGAGGCACATCGATTGGTTGCCTCCTGCACATGCCCTGACCAGGACCGGAGATCGAACCTGCAACCAGGTACGTGCCCTTGACCAGGAATTGAACCCATGCTCCTTTGCTTCGGTGCTCGGGCCAGCACTGTATCTACTGAGCCACAGCAGCCAGTGCTATTCTTTCTTCTTTGAAAAGCTGAAGCAGCCCTGGCCAGTTTTGCTCAGTGGTTAGAGCGTTGGTCTGAGGTCCAGAGAGACCTGGGTTTGGTTCCCACTAGGGGCACGTACCTTGGTTTCAGTTTGTCCTCAGCCCTGGTTGGGTCGTGTGAGTGGCAACCACTCGATGTGTCCCTTTCATGTCGATGTTTCTCTCTCTCTCTCTCTCTCTCTCTCTCTCTCTCTCTCTCTCTCTCTCTCCCTCCCTCCCTCCCTCCCTCCCTCCCTCCCTTCCTCCCCCTCTCTTTTCTATCTGAACAAAAAATGGAAAAATGTCCTTGGGTAAGGATAAAAAGAAAAAAGAAAAGCTGAAGCAAACATGATCTTCATATGGACCAGTTAGCTTCTCAGTGTTCCTCAATCTCAGATTATTCTTTAACCTTATTTTGGAGATGTGTGAAGAGGAAAGATAGATATATATAAAACCTTGATTAGTATCAGAGACTCCAGCTCAAGTTTCATAGAAGTCATCAGTAGATCTTGGGAGTAGCCTCTTTATTCATGATGAAAAAGAATGCTGTGTGACATTTATGCTCTTAATATTTACCTGGATATTAAGCAAAGTGACTGTTTTAAACTCTTATGTTTTTCATTATTCATCCAGAAATGGCAGAATGCTGACCTGAATGGGAAATTTAAACTTCCAACAAAGAATGAATTTATTCCTACGAATTTTGAGATTTTATCTTTAGAAAAAGAAGCAACACCATACCCTTCTCTTATTAAGGTAACATGTTAGACTCAGTGAATTTATTTTTTATTTTTTCAATTTTTTTATTTTTTATTTTTAAAACAGTTTATTGATTTTTAGAGAGAGAGGAAGGGGAAAGAGAGAGACATTGATATGAGAGCATAACGTTGATTGGCTGCCTCCTGCATGCCCCACACTGGGTGTTGAGCCTGAAACCTGGGCATATGCCCTTCATCAGAATCGAACCAACAACCTTTTGGTACACAGGTGTACAGGAGGACGCCCAACCAACTGAGCTACATGGGCCAGGGCTAGACTCAGTAATTTTAAATTCAGGGGACAGACTTACTACATGGAAGGGACTAGAGAGATGATTTCTTGCATTTGGTACTATGTTGATTTGGGGGGCGCTCACATCCAAGAGGTGACAGAAAAGTTACAGAGATAATAATACAAGACACATGAAAAGGCCAGAAATGTTAAAGCAAACAAACAAAACCACTAAACAACATAGAATCTGGGGAATTATTTTGTTTGCAGGGGGCAAAAAAGGGAAGTCTGGATTGTAACCATAAGTCTGTGGAAAGATAGTGGCTTCTTTTTCATAGTCACTGAAGACCCAGTGAGGAAGAAGATTTGTGTTGCATCGTACAAGTCAGAGAAACGAAAGAATCTCTGAAAACTGGAAGAGCGCATCCTAAAGGAGCTGTTGGATTTCCTGCCTTTGGAAACAGCTATCTTTTTGATGTAGTGGTACATGAAGTTCACAGAGCCAAGTGGGAAGGGTGATTGAACTGTGGGTTTTCTTTTTCTTTTTTGGAATGTTCTTTTCATGTTATTAATTCACACCTGGGGTAAAAGTTATATAGAAAAAGGATCAAATCATTACAGCACATACTCTTTCCTATACATAAAACTTTTTCCATACTCATGAACTTAGACACACATCTTTTTATTTTCTTCAAATGACCTAGTATTCAATAAACTCAGATAAGAATTATTGTTTAGGAATATGAAATTTAATTTATCTGAAGCAATTACATGATTAAGACAACCATTTTTCTTTAAAAGTTGTCTCAATTTTAATGAGTTATAGGTTAGGTTATTGGAAGGCAAAACTTGTTTACTTCTCAAGTTTTAATTGTTTTGTTTAAATAGGCCTCTTCAGAGCAAACTAAGGAGAACATTAAACTATCTCTTATCAGTTTCAAGTGAACATCTAAAGCTATTTGTTTTTAATATAGTATGAGTGAAGTAGAGAGTCAACACAGTGACTTATTTATTTATCCCTGACTGTGTTATCATTGCTGGGTAACAAATTACTCCAAAATTTAGCAGCTTGAAACCACAAATACTTATATTATCTCACACAGTTTCTGGGGGTCAGGAATCTAGAAGTGGTTTAGGTGGGTGGTTCTGGCTCAGGGTCTCTCATAAGGTTATAGTCAAGCTGTGGCTGGGGCTTCAGCCGTCTGAAGACTCAACTAGAGCTGGAGCATTCAACAGAGCAGAAGTTCAGTGGGTTTTGGCAGATTTTAGTTCTTCTCCACATGGGCGTCTCCATAAAGTTGCTTGAGATGGCAGCTGGCTTTCCCCAAACTGAGTGATCAAGTTGGAAGCCACAGTGTCTTTCATAGTCATACCATCACTTCTGTCACATTCTTTTGGTCAGACAGACCAACTTTGGTTCAGTGTGGGAGAGAGAACCACACAAAGGTGTGGATTCCAGTAGGCAGGGATCCTTGTGGCCCATCTTGGAGGCTGGCTGCCATCCACTCCTACGGGCTCCTTCATCTGCCTTGCAGGGTCCAGAAAGGCAGGAAGAGGGCACTTATTGGCTTCTCCACTCTGGCACTGCGTCCTCATTTTGTTAACCCAGGGGAGCTAAAAGGGTGATTTCTCTCTGCTGCTGGCATCACCAGTTCTCTGTTCATGTCCCACTTGCTGACCTCTGAGTGTACTTCAAGGCCTCTCCAGAACAGAACTCTCAAATATTGCTTTTGTCTTCCTTTCTCGAAGGGTGATTTGATTAAATGTTTTTGCCAGATGTGCCCATATTTCCATAACCAATTTTTTTCTCCATCACAGGATACAGCTATGAGCAAATTGTGGTTCAAACAAGACGATAAGTTTTTCTTGCCGAAGGCTTGTCTCAACTTTGAGTTTTTCAGGTATGTAAGATGATTCTAGCTACAAAGCTTCTTATGAAAATCAACAATTACTTTCTAAAAGTTTTCTTTGGTTCCTTAAAGATCTGTGTCTAAAAATAAAAGGAATTAGGGTTATTTAGCCCAGACAAGAAAAGGCTGGTGCCGTTATGACACTTGTAAGAACCAAGGTTGTTAATCCTTCCTTTCCGTTAATTAGTACACCTTTTAACTGAAAATATTTGTGTTAGTGATTATCAGGACCTTCCTAACTGTCAGGATTTTAGAATCTAGGGAGGCTATAGATTCACCCAGAAGTTTCATTAAAGAAAGATGAAATAATCTGGGGTGTCTTTTGTTGTGGTTTTGGTTGTGTATTCCTGGAACTTGCCTGAAGAAGAGGTATTAGTTACTAAATGATCTGGAGTCTCTTCCAGCCCATTAATTGTCTGGAGCCCTCAAATATTGCTTTCTGTATTCATGGCTTGGTTAGAAGCATACTTCAGAAATATTGTGGGTTGGGTTCCAGACCACTGCAATAAAACAAATTGTAATATTTTTGCTGGTGGAGGATCTTGCCTTCACTTTGTAAAAAAGTCAACATCTGTGAAGTGCAATAAAATGAGGGTTGCCTGTGCTTTCCCATTTGGCTTCAGAATACCTTTTGGGAGACCATTTGATATTTTTGCATATTTTAAATTGTGCAGCACAGTTCTTAGTATTAAAAATGTCTACTTCCTACCAGTCCTTTTCTCTGTGTTCTGGTCTGCCTAGAGGGACACACTATTAGGTTTCTTATACACTCATGTAGAAATTTTCAGAAATAGGATTATATTATACACACTTAGTTATAGTTTCTAAAACTCTATAATCCATATTTAAGCATATGGCATCTGATTGCAAAATAATGTTTTTCAAATTGAGAAATGAATCAAAATTTAAGCTTATCAGTTGAATTGTGTTCTCTTTTAAAAGTTTAGGACCCTCTCCAGTTCACCAACACAGCAGCATTTTAGGATACTTCCTGGAATTGAGCTTGGGCCACAGGGCTTTGAAACCCCAGATTTGGCTTTTTCTGGCTTTTCACTTCCACCTAAGAAAGGTGCCTATGGGGTTGAGCCCCTTCATGAACTTTCTTTGCATTTAATGATTTTGCTTCTGTGAGTTGAGCCCTAAGTTTCTGAGCTGCTGTTTGTTTAAAAAAAGGAAGTCTATTGTCATGAATAACACTTTAAAAAATTCGATGACACGGCATTCACTTAGATTTTCCAGATGGAGGATGTTTGTATAGCTGTAGAGCTTTTCCTTTGATTTTAATTCTCTAAGGGGCTAAGCATTTTACCCCTATTTTTGCTTTATTATCAGTTTTTTATAAAATTATTGGCTTTGCTATCAGTGCATTAGTTATACTTACTGTGTTATACAAAGAGTGAAACTTTCAATTTGCTGCCAAGCAAAACAAGCAAAGCAGGCACCTGTCTCAAGTCCTTTGCACTAGCTATTTTCTCAGCCTAGAAAGTTCTTCACCCTACCCAGATATCCCCAGGGCTTGCTCCTTTGCTTCCTTTAGGTCTGGGCCCAGATGTCACCTTATAACCATCTTAGCAGTCTTCCTATCCCACCACCACCATCCGTCACTCCCATTCCCCTCTTCCTGTTTAATTTTCCTCTACAGCACTATTACTGCCTGATGTGTATCATATTTTAATTTATTATTTGTCTCCTCCAACTGGACTATAAACTCTGAGGTCAGGGACTTTGTTTGATTTGTTCCTTCTTTATTCCCAGTAGCTAGAGAAGAGCCTAGCATTGTGGTAAGCATGCAATAAATACTTGTTGAATGAATAGATCTTTTACTCTCATAAAGATAAGCAGTGTCATATAGTCAAATGCATAGGTCATGTGACTTAAATTTGAATCCTAACTCTGCTGCTTATCAGCCCAGGTGACATGAGGAAAATTATGTTTAATTGGGAAATGAAGTTTTAAAATAGGTGATCTTTATGGTCATCCTATTTAGCTCTTGCACTCCTCTATAATTGTTTCTTCTCTTTTGTTGCTCTTTCTCACTTAAATATTTTTCACTTTAGTATTTTTTTTTAGTTCTGGCTGCAGTTATGTGGTGGGAATCATTAATTATTTTACTGACAGTGCTCTAGCTTTATTGGTTTGGGGAAAACTCAGAGAAAAGCGAATATTTACACAGGTCTTAATTTTTCTCTTTTAAGTTCATATAATTGTAGCCCACAAGCTTCTCAATCTCATGGTCCTGTCCACCAAGGTATGACTTGCTTAGAAGGAGAAAAGGGACATGCCAGTGTTGAATCAGATCTTTCAGTCATACCTCCTATTACCCTGAATGCAGGTATGCGTTTTGGCTGGTTCCACTCCTTCTAACTTGTCAGTTCTGTCACACCACCTGGGTAAGCAGTTCCTCTCCCTCTTCTCCACCAGCACATGGCATGTTTCAGACTTTTTTATACATCTTGTGTTTTACCTCATGAGAAGAAGAGACAGACTCAAGAATTCAATTCAAACCATATCTTCAGGAAATTATATGAATCTGTGTGTTCAGTTTCTTGATCCATCTCGAAAGGCCACATACCACACTGGGAAGTAATAAATCAGCTATTTTACTGTCAACATTTTCTTCCAGCCCATTTGTTTATGTGGACCCCTTGCACTGTAACATGGCCTATTTGTACCTTGAGCTCCTCAAAGACTCACTCAACGAGTATGCATATGCAGCAGAGCTAGCAGGCTTGAGCTATGACCTCCAAAATACCATCTATGGGATGTATGTAAGTACCCACGTCTTAGAGCCTTCCACTCATCAACATTTTTTTACATTGATTTGATGGAAGCATTTTTGATTGAGGGTATGAGTTGATTTCTTTTTTAAAATCTTATGGCTAATCATACTTTCTCATCATTTAATTTTTAAGTTAACTCTTATTTTAAGTATTCTGCAATATACCACTCATATTATGCCATTTTTCCTTGATTTCTTTTTTTTATTTTTTTTTAACATCTTTCATCAGATTGTCATATTTTTCTCCTCAAACAAAATTGGACCCTGATTTAGGTTTAGATCTTACCCATTCTGTATCTGAAGTCTTGGTCTTTGACAACAGAGAATGACGTCTTGCTGCCATTGTGAAACATAAGGTTGGCCTGTACTATTTCCCTAGCAATTCAGATCATGAGGCTGCATATCCATACTCTTCGGTCATGTTTCTTCATTATCATGTCACTGCTTGAGGTATCAAAGCATTTCTTTTGTTTTTCTTTTTGTTAGTCGCTACATTTATGCTGATCCTCTCCATTGCAACATGACATACCTGTTTATCAGGTTATTGAAGGATGATTTAAAAGAGTATACATATGCAGCACGCCTGTCAGGTTTGAGCTATGGCATTGCATCAGGAATGAATGCAATACTTGTAAGTAAAATGAAAACCAAAGAAAAGGCACCACACCATTTAAGCATTATGTTGAGCTTGGAAAAACTATTAACTTCTGCATTTTTAAACAAGAAGATTGATGGTTTTTTCCTTGCACCTTTTTAATGATTGAAGAACTCAGATTAGTATTAGCTACACTAATGAATGATTTAGTAGAGTTTAGTGCATCTTATGAACATGTATGTGTGCTACATTTACTTGCATGTTCCTCTGCTTGAAAAGCTTAACATATATTAATCCTGAAAGCATGTTGTTCTTTTTATGTATTTGAGTATATTAACATCTGTAAGTGAAAGATGTCCATAGTTATTGTTGTGGTGCTTGAATTTTATTTATATAGAAACTTCCTTTATTTCTGCTGAAAGTCGGAGAAAATTCCTGTGTTCAGATACTTGTGACATTTTCATTTAATTTTTTTGTAGCATGAATCATTAACTACTTTTAAGTGTGTTTAAAAATAAGCATTATTATATGCACTCAAAGAAATAACTGGATCCTTTTTCTTGACACTGTTTGTGATGTTTCCAAACTTATATCTCATTTCCAAATTAACATTCCTTTATGACACACATTCATCTTCACTTTTCTTGAAATTATATGTTTTAGTAACAACTAAAATGAGAGCATTTGCTGTGTACTTCTCCTTATAAATTCTTATACAAAAGGTTTTATTTAGGGTTTTAAATTTTTACTTATTTTGCAGTGACTTTTTTTCATACAAGTAAATTTTTCAGTAGGTTTTGTTTAATGGTATAAGAATGTATACAACTTAACTATTCTCAGAGTCCAGAGAATTTTGAAGTTCAGAGATCAAAATAAACTCCAAATAGAAAAGTAATAATCCATTGTTTATTTTTCACTATTGAGTTTTAGTAGTATATTACCATAAATATAAATAATTTGTTACTTGTGACAAGCTGGGCTTTTAGCTAATTGTCAATCTAGTCCCCACAGTAGGTGATATGCTTTCCATGGCTGAGAACCTTCACTTCTGCTGAGGTTCTTGCCTATCACTTTTCATAAGGCAGAGGTGTTCATAGGTATTCTAGTTACATTGTATCCTCTACTGCAGTGGGTGCCACCAATAGGAAATATGATAATAGGCATCCCCCACATTTCAAAATGTTATGCTTTCAGAGACCATTAAAATAAATTGCCTTAAGGCAAAATCTAGTGTATCCTCACTACACATCTGTTTTTCCTTTAGCTTTGGCACCTCAGCAGAACTCATCCAACAAGCAAGTGGTGGGACATCTGGATCCTTACTGGATGACACTGAATGAGAAAAGTGGCAGAATGCCACATAATAAAAAATTGGGACTGCCAGATTTCTCCAAATGTGTTTTTAAAAATATTTAAATATAACAATTTGGGGGCATATCCAATAGTTTGTAGATGACACTCCCCTATGATTTTTTTTTTTTTGCTTCTTACCACACCTATAAAAACCTCTTAAGCCTGCCATTCCTTAGACATTTTAAAAATTAAACTTAAAATACATTCTATAATTAATTTTGACTTTATGAGGACTTGAAGTTTGATAATGTAGTATGTGCTGCCACAGTTGGGCATCAGGTGAGTTTTCCTACTGTTGATTTTGTTTAGGAAAAGCAAAATTATGCTTTTTGGTATTAGTAAATATCAATGGTTAATATTATCTTCCTAAGTGTTAAACTATATTTATGATAAGTTAAATTAATTGGATTTCTTGTTTCACTTTTTATAACACTTGGTTTTGGGATTTTCTGAATGTTTAAAAATCAAGCTTAAGGTATTTTATGATATTTTTAGATTTTTAACACTCTGAACTCTTTCTGTAGCTCTCGGTGAAAGGTTACAATGACAAGCAGCCAATTTTGCTAAAGAAGATTATTGAGAAAATGGCTACCTTTGAGATTGATGAAAAAAGATTTGAAATTATCAAAGAGGCAGTAAGTATTCTGAACTTATTTTTATAATTTATTGTCCTTTCATAAGATAGCATGAAGTGATTTTAAAGGATTTATAAAATGAGTGAACCCATGTCTTCATTCACTAGTATATGCGATCTCTCAACAATTTCCGAGCTGAACAGCCTCACCAGCACGCCATGTACTACCTCCGCCTGCTGATGACTGAGGTGGCCTGGACTAAAAATGAATTAAAAGAAGCCCTGGATGGTGAGACTATTTTTCTACTTGGCCTAATACTTTCTTCATTTTTTTTCTAAAATCACTTTATTTTATCCTGACATCTAGTGTTTATATTTTCTACTAACTTGTAGTTTCCTTAAAGCCAGATTGCATACTTTTTTTTTCTTTTTTGTTTTATCTTCACCCGAGGACATTTTTCCATTTTTGTTCAGATAGAGTGGGAGGAAGGGGAGGGGGGACATCAACATGAGAGGGGCACATCGATTGTTTGCCTCCCACATGACCCTGACCAGGGCCAGGGACAAACCACAACCAAGGTACATGCCCTTGGTCAAAATCAAACCCACGACTCATTGGTCCACAGGCCAGCGCTCTAACTGCTGAGCCAAATCGGCCAGGGCTGCATACTTTTTAATAAAAACGGTGACATTTGAAAGAGTATATGGTATTCAGGCAGTTTACCCACATTTGCTGTTTTCAACCTGGACCTACAGCAGTTGGCACTGTTCATAAATTTCTGCAGATGGCGAGATGTTTTGACCAAAGCACTTACCTTGTTAACGTTGTTTTTAGAAAAAGAAAAGGTTTGAAAGTCTTATCCCGAAGAAAGTGCTCAGACATCTGTAGATCTGTCTTTTGCTTCTTTATTTCTAAAAATTTAAATCTAACATTTATAGGTTTTGCTTGAGAATCAAAAATTCCTTGAGGGCAGTGATTATGCCTTCCTTATATCCTCTTTATTTAGTATCTAGTATAATGGTATGTCCTCTGTGTATGTCTAATGAATGCCTAGTGAATGGAATGAAATTGCTTTTAGCTGTCCTTCATTGAAACAAATGTAGCCTGATATCACCCTTTATTATTGTTTTAGCCTTTTCATTTCTTGACATTACATTACCAATTAATCTTTCTTCCTACATGTTTAGCAATAAGGAAAAAGAATGCTGCTGAATTTTTAATGATATTTTATGTTAAGTCCTTACTTATACTTGCCATGTAACACTATGCTTTTGATGTTTTCAGTGGCAAATCAGGAGCAAAAAATATTGAAAAATTTTTATTTTATTGTAGCCTCAGGCATTGGGTAGGTGTATAGATTATAAAATTCATTAGCTAGAAAAGATACACACACACACACACACACACACACACACATATTTATAAATTGTAACAGATGCATTTTATAAATATGTTTTTTATTAAAGGAGAAACATCTGTAACAAAAATAAATAAATTGATAAAATTCTCACATCAAAATTATAAAGGACATTTTTTTATTAAAAAGATATGTTTTTATTGATTTTTCTAGAGAGAGAACAATCAATTGACTGCCTCCTGCATGCCCCCAACTGGGGATCAAGCCCACAACCCAGGCATGTGCCCTGATCAGGAATCGAATCGGGACCTCTCAGTCCATGGGATGATGTTCAGTCTGCTGAGCCACACCGGCTAGGCTGGAACAGATACATTTTTAATCTAGATAGTTTAATCTTTGCAAAATGGTTATAAGACACATTTGGTTAATAGCAAGAGTTTTCCCTTTTTTAAAAAACAACTACATACTTGATTTTAAGTACATTTTTCAAGAAACTGAACCTGCATTCAGCATAATCAAAAAATGGAAATTTTTGGCTTTTCCCCCTCTTTTTTAAATTTCTGGGTTGGATATTATGTGACTCTTAAGCAGAATAAGCTCTAAAGTATCTCATAGGCATGAGCAACCTTCCTAAAATGTATTTTATATAGAGAGAATCAGCACTTTTTTAGTTGAAATTCTTCATTCTAATAAATAGTCATTCTGTTTTGTTATATATATATTTATACAATAATCCAGTAATGCCAACGTGGCTTAATCTGGGGACAGCTCTTTGTGGGAGGCTGGCTCCCTCATGACTCTAGGTCAGTCAGCTGTCCAGGTGCTGGGGTAGCAAGAACCTCAGAGTTCAATGTGGTCCAACGGCATTTACTGCCTGCCTGCTGTGCACCAGACCCTAGACTCCAGTTGTGTGAGATTTTTAAAAAGATTATTTAGTAGGGGTTTCTGTGATCGGGGACCCTCCAGTCTAGTGGCAAAGTGTGAATGTGAACAGATCTCCAGTAGTGACAAAGAGAGGAAGTCTGCAGAGAGTGCTGAGGGTTATTGAGGCCCCGAGGCAGGACAGTGAAGAACAAGCATGCACTTTGGAATTAGATCAGGGATCAGATGACTGCTCTGCAACTTGATGATTTTGGTTAAGAAACTTATGTTTTCTAAACTTTAGTTTTCTCACCTTTAAAGTAGGGATAATAGCACTGCCCTGGCCAGTTTGGCTCAGCAGTTAGAGTATCGGCCTGCGGACCAGAGAGTCCCGGGTTTGGTTTCTGCTGAGGGCACGTGCCTCAGTTGCTGTTTGTCCCCAGCCCCGGTTAGGGTGGTGTGTGTGGCAACCACTTGATGTGTCTCTCTCACATTGATGTTTCTCTCTCACATTGATGTTTCTCTCTCTCTCTTCCCCTCTTCTCTCCTGCTCTATCTAAAGATAGATGCAAAAATGTCCTCTGGTGAGGATAATAAAAATATTAATAAATAAATAAAATAAAATAGGGATAATAGCACACACTTTACATTTTATAACATCTGTAAAATGCCAGCCAACAGTAAGCACTGTTAATTTCTTTTCTGTGTCTCTCTTTAAATTTCAGTCACTAATTTTAGCATCTGTTGTAGTTATTTTTTGTGTGGTCCTAATGGAGGAAGGACGACTCTTCCTTATTGAAGAACTCCTTATTGAAGAACTTAAATCAATACATGTGAAAGGAAAATGGGGAGTAGAAAACTCACTGTTAGGATGCCATAGTAATAATTGATACAGGCAGTATACACCAATGGGTGCTAAAGTTAGTGGGTAAAAGTTAAGGAAAAACAGGATATTTGTGTGGTTTCAAAGTATTTCACCCCCAAAAAATATTTATTAATCACAATGGAAAAAGTAAGCATTGATGCGCAGGTGGCGTTTCCTAATTGCTTGTAGAGCATACATGAGTTACTCAGTTATAATCAAAAGAATAAAATAGCGCACTTAAAATAAAGACATCTGGCAGAACCACCCCAACCAAGTGATCAATGTTAACATTGCTAGTACTGCAACACAGCAACCCCACGCACCCCTGATGTGATGCACCAAGAAAGGCATGTTACCTCTGTGCTGTTCTTCCTAGTAAAACATAAGCTCAGTTTAATCATGAGAAAACAGAAGACAAACCCAAATAACTAAACAGTACACTGTAGAATTCTTAAGGTCATCAAAAATGAGGAAAGACCAAGGAACTGTCACAGATGGGAGGAAATTAAGGACACATGACCACTAAGTACATGAAGGGATTGTGGGTTAAAGCCTAGAACAGAAAGAGACATTAGTGGAGAAACTGAAATCCAAATAAAGTCTGTATTTTAGTTCATAGTATTGTACTAGTGTTGATTTCTTAGTTTTGATCATTGTACTGTGGTTATGAAAAATGTTAGCATTAGGAAAAACTGGGTGAAGGGCGTACAGGACCTATACTATTTTTGAACTCTGATTTCTTCTGTAAGCCTTGAGTTGACTCACAGATTTTTTTTAAAACCTAAGTAGAGCTATTTCTTACTCCCTTACAGATGTCACCCTTCCTCGCCTTAAGGCCTTCATACCTCAGCTTCTGTCACGGCTGCACATTGAAGCCCTTCTCCATGGAAACATAACAAAGCAGGTGAGTGTTGGGGTTTTAGCATGTTCTATGAATCAGTACAAAAGATTTTTTTACCCTTGTCTGTCTAAAACTGTTAACCACCACAGTGTGATTATAAGCACATCAGTGTTCACTCAACCTTCTCTCTTCTGTGGAGGAAGGAAGGACGAGGCATAGGGGGAGCAGAATGATTGTGGTTGACTGTGGACCTACTGTCATGACTGATGTTTCTGCTCTTGCCTGCCTGTGCCATCACAGAGGAAAGTGGGAAAAACTATCCCTGCTCTGCATAGGACAGCAGGACTGTGTAGTGGATAAGAGCACATGATATGGAATTAGACAGGCCGGATTTGAGTCCTAGCTGTGCCACATACTAGATATGTAATCTTCTGAAAAGGTCTTAGCCTCTCTGTGCTCAGTTTTCCTATTTATAAAATTAGAATTATTAGAATTAAATTAAATAGTAAAGGCCAAGTGTTTAGCATATGGATAGCACTGTGGAATTCCCATGGCAGTCTGTCTCAAGAGCCTGTACTACCATTCCGTTATACTGTCTCCAAAACAGTATGTCCGGTGGCAGAGACAGAATTCTTAGCAAGGTCGGTTTTATTAAAAATAAAGCCTTGTGCTCCCTTCCTTTGCTTTGCTGTAACCCCAGCTATTGTTCAGTTGGGACCGATTTTGCATCACCAGTACCTCTCTAGCTTTAGCAGTGCCTTTTTCCCAGCATCAAGATGGTCTGGGTCTCTATTTCTCCTCACTACTACCATATTGACTATATTGCAAATTGACAAATACAATTTCTGTCCATTTGAATAGGATCAATTGTATTTAACTAAGATTTTAAAATCCATTTTTATAATAAAGTAGGCGGATTTATTTCACAGGCGTGTTTTCATATTGCTTAGGCCATCATTCAGTGTACTGTTTTTATTTTCACAGACAAGATACATTAGTGTTCTTGTAATGTACTGTGACCTGTCTTTTCTACAGGCTGCATTAGGGATTATGCAGATGGTTGAGGACACTCTTATTGAACATGCTCATACAAAACCTCTCCTTCCAAGTCAGCTGGTTCGGTATAGAGAAGTTCAGCTCCCCGACAGTAAGTTGAAATGTTGTAACTTTAGTAATGGACAACTTTGACATAATATTGTGGGTGATTACAGGTAAATTGAATTCACTTGGATGATAATGTATTCTTTTATGGTAAAGAACTACTCTATCCTCTGCTGTTTATAGAGGTATGGTTAAAGATGGATAATTCTGCCAAGAAATTCTCAGTTGGTAGGCCAAAGAGTTGAAATTGGAGGTAGGCCATTATTTTGAAGAGAATGATACTGGAATTGACTGGTAATTGAGGGTAAAGGAGTTAGGAAGTAAAAGTATCACAAACTAAGAAAAAAATGTTGATTATGAATCATGAAAAAAATTTATTTATAAAAAATAAAAATTAGAGTCCTGGACGGTTTGGCTCAGCCATTAGAGCGTCGGCCTACGGTCCAGAGAGACCCGGGTTCGGTTCCCACTAGGGGCACGTACCTCAGTTGCAGTTTGTCCCTAGTCCTGGTTGGGTCATGCAGGTGGCAACCACTCGATGTGTTCCTTTCACATCGATGTTTCTCTCTCTCTCCCCCTCTCTCCCACTCTATCTGAACAAAAAATGGAAAAATGTCCTCAGGTGACGATTAAAAAAAAAAGAAAACTAGAATTATAATATCTAATTGGAAGCCCATAGGTGTCTTTGAGAGAAATCGTTTTAGGAAAGCAGGTGTAGATAACATGTATTTATTACATGGATATTTTATAAGGAATTTTAACATAATTAATAATTACTATATTAGAGTTTACAGTGTTGGATTACTTTTGCATTAATAATGGTTTCTGTTGATATAAAAACTCATTAAGCGTTATTTTCAATATTGTTCAAAATTGTCTAATGGGAAGTTTATTAGACCAGAGGTGAGAAGCATTGATTTTTTTTTTTTTAGAGCTGGGTCATCTGTTGGGAGCCCAACTCTTTTTTTATTTTTTCCCCTTACCCAAGGATATTTTTCCATTTATCTTCAGATAGAGTGGGAGGGAGAGAGAGAGAAACATTGATGTGAGAGAGACATCAACTGGTTGCCTCCCACATGGACCCACCAGGGCCTGGGACCAAACTACAACCGAGGTACGTGCCCTTGACTGGAGTCAAATCTGCAACTCTTTGGTCCACAGGCTGTTGCTCTAACCACTGAGCAAAACCGGCCAGGGCCAGTATATTCTTTTTTCCCCAGCTATTTTATCCTCCTGAAATACTGCTCTCTCCCACCTGCAACCCTTATATTCCTCATAGACCTATGTCCCTATTTTTCCTATTCATCCTTATTCATCCTTCCAAACCCTATTTACCTTTCCAAACCCATGTGATAAGCCCTTCATTCTCTAAACATTTTTTAAAACTCCCAGCTAGAAGTAATCACTTCTTCTTCTGACCTCTCACACAGGGTTTTCTGAACCTTTCCTTATTTAAGCTGCTCATTACTTCTTCTCTTGCATTGGGATTGAAGTGCATCTTCATGTCCCTTGTTAGCTTTTACATTTCTTGAGACCAAGGTCTGTGCCTGGCAGCTCGAACATAGTATTACCTTAGGATGTCATTGTTGAGTGTGCAAGGATACCTTGAGCACAGCTCTCCTGTTCGGCATAACCAGTTGTCACAGACCTGGTAAGGATTCATTTCAGACTAATGCTAGTTTGTTCCTCGGTCACTGCAAAGTGAGGCAGTCTAGGAACAAAATTTCAAAGTGAAATCTATCTCTTACATCTCTTTTTTCTATACTTTCCGCCTTCTCTCTGCCCTCCTAGAACCCTATTTCTTTTGTCTCTCAAATGCCGTGGAAGATTTCCCCATGTTCAAAAATAACTCAGCTCACATCTCACATCTTAAAATGTAGGTGTTAGGAAACATTTCTAATTTAGCCAGCTAATCAGTTACAAATGTCTTAAATAGTTCATCACTTAACTCTCCATGGGACAATATTTATAGTTTAAAAAGAAAACTTTCAAGCATTGTCAAGAAGGAGGCCTTTGGGGATGAGTATGAAAAGGATGGAAGTGTGTGTGTGGTTGGGGGAGTGGACTTAGATCCTGTGTTCTCCTCCTATCAGAGAATGTAATGCTGCCCGTATACGATCAGAAAGTTTCACTGTTAGTCCAACTTGGACCTGGTCAGAAAAGTGAAATATAATTTCAGGCTTCTCTGCCTCCCTTCACTGTTGATGTCTAAATGAGCTTCTGTAAGAGCGAGCAAGCATATCATTACTACTGTGTCTGAGAAGTTTTAAATTTGTGAGTCATAAAATACTAAGTCCTAAGCACTATATATTTACTTCTTCAAATTTATTGCTCATGAAATAAAGTTATCAGATCACAAAGCATGATCATCTATTCATAACTTTGATGAAACAGTTGATCAACGTATCCGAGTTTTAGTCCTAGCTGTCCACCATTGGACTTTGTGTCCTTGAAAAATTTGCCCCATTTCTCAGGATCTTGTTTCCTCCTTTCTAAGGTGAGATGTTAGGCTAAGTTACCTCTAGACATTGTACTCATTTGTGTAAATCTGTACAATGCCCTTTAGTGTGGGTGTGAATAAACAATACTGGGAATAGAAAGTTAAATAGAAATACAAGATAATAAAGGCACAACTAATAATTAAAATTTTGTGTATAGTTATTAAAACAGGTGTTTTTCTGTTGAGGTTCTTACATATATTAGCTAGTTCTAGTCTAGTACATACACTACATTGCACATTTTATTAACTATGAGTCTTACTTAGCATTAATACTTAGTTATAAAATGAGTCTTTTATAAATGAATCTTTGCCCTTTAAATTCCGTGTGTGTTTATTGAGGTCCCACCAAATACAAATCACTAATAGAATTCCCTGGGGTAAGTTGAGTTTCACATTCTAATAAATTAATTACAGTTTGGAGTTGCGAAAAGCACTAATCAAATTGAACAACTTTCAAAGCCAAACAAAGTGTTAAATAAAGGCACAACTAATAATAAAGGCACAACTAATAATTAAAATTTTGTGTATAGTTATTAAAACAGGTGTTTTTCTGTTGAGGTTCTTACATATATTAGCTAGTTCTAGTCTAGTACATACACTACATTGCACATTTTATTAAATCTTAAATTTAAGTGTTTGAATGTGTTGCTCTCTTTTTTTAAACCTTCTAGAAGGATGGTTTGTTTATCAGCAGAGGAATGAAGTTCACAATAACTGTGGCATTGAGATCTACTACCAAACAGACATGCAGAGCACCTCGGAGAATATGTTTCTGGAGCTCTTCTGTCAGATCATCTCTGAGCCCTGCTTCAACACCCTGCGCACCAAGGAGCAGCTGGGTGAGAGGGGAGGGGCGTGGCAGGTTGCCATGGACCTTGAAAAGCAACCAGTGTCCTCAGAGGAAATTCTCCACATGCACGGTTCCTTAGCATGTTGCTTCAGGCATACTCTCTTCAGAAAGATTTGTGAAAACCTGTTTATGTGGAACTTACTTCTAAAAGATAAGCAGTTAATATCATATGGACATTAAAGCAATTCTTAAGGAAATGGTACTGTGTTTACATTACACACCTCTCAGTAAAGAGGTTGTTTTGGGTAGAGGGGAGAGGATACTAAGGGCAGGCTGGATGAATGGAAAGGCAGGAAGCAGGCCATTCAGAGAAGCTTAGATTCACTAAACTTCGGGTTCCTTGAGGGTGCAGACGTTTTCTCTCATTCATCTTGGGGCATATAGAAGATCTTGGGGCATTACTCAGTAAGACTTTGTTGAGGAAATGTTTCAGGCAGCATCTTAGGCACTATTAAAAGTCTTAGAGATCCTAGTAGGTTTGATTAATGAGGGGGGGGGGAAGAAAGAAAGAAACCCCAGTAATGACTGGGAAGAACCAGTGAAAAAGGATTTGGATGAGTCTTTCCAAGTACTAATCTTTTTTTAAACAACCACAGTGCTAGATGCTGGACCATGAACATAGTGGTTATGGCTGGTCCTTCCCTTCAAGGAGCTCACAATCTAATCAGGAAGGCAGACATGTAAAGGAATAATTATAATTATAGTACAGTGTGGTTTAAACTCTAAAAGCTGTACTGAAGAGAGTTTCTTTCTCTGAAGCAGGACCCAGAGACACCACAGCTGTCAGAGGTGTGGTCCAGGGCAGAGCAGCTGAAGGAGACAGGTCACGAGCTTGGTTTAGAAAAGATGTTGATGAGCGGTTGTGCATGAGCTCACAAGATGTCAGTGGAAATATGACCTTCAGTTACTCGATCTCTAGAGATTTACAGTCTGCATAGAGTCGGTCCAGGAATGGACTGTCCAATAGGAAATGCAATAGTAGAGGCAAGTTCACATAAGGAACTTGGATGTGAAAGGAAACAGTGCTAGGACTATGGTTAAGGGATGAAAATGAGGCCAGCATTTCATAGGGATGGGAATAACTTTAATGTAAACTGAAGGGTATTAACTAGCAGATAATTAGGAGTTATGGGATATTGAGTTTGAATGATGATTAGGGTTTTGTTTTTTTAAGAAGTTATCTCCAACTTTATGACTAGTCTTTAGAGAGCTCTTCTGCTCTGTCTTTAGAACATAAAGGTATCCTAATTGCTCATATTTCTTCAGAGATTAACAGTATAAAACCCTAAAGTAGATTTTACTTGCTCTAACAGCATAGTTTTAGAAAGATTAAAAGTGACCCGAGTCTCAAATGCCAAGGTCCAGACTGGCTGGTGTTTCTGTTGCAGGTTACATAGTCTTCAGTGGTCCGCGTCGAGCCAATGGCATACAGGGCCTGCGCTTCATCATCCAGTCAGAAAAGCCTCCTCACTACCTGGAAAGCAGGGTGGAAGCTTTCTTAATCACCATGGAAAAGTCCATAGAGGACATGACAGAAGAGGCCTTCCAAAAACACATTCAAGCATTAGCGATTCGTCGACTAGACAAACCAAAGAAACTGTCTGCAGAGTGTGCTAAATACTGGGGGGAAATCATCTCCCAGCAATACAATTTTGACAGAGGTAAGGCAAAATTAGGCCTTGGCATTCATGGCATGTAAGTGTAACATTTAAGGTCATTGAGGTAATTCTACAAAATATAGTCGTCCTCGCCACTCCACACTTCGACTTTCGCGGCTTCACTCTATTGCAGTTTTTTCAAATATACTCATTAAAAAGTTGATCGAGAGTCAAAATGATACAGCTCACGCTCGGTTGTCTGAGTCAATTATACACCCCTGTATTACAATTAAAATTACTGCACATATGGACTGTAGGCCTATGTATTCAAGCACCCCAGGAATCCTTCAACGCCAGGTGCAACCGCTGGAGTCTGGAACGGATTAACCACGATAAATGAGGGACGACTGTAGTGTTTATTTTGTAGATAATGGTCTAGTACTGATTTGGGAGGGATGTGCAGCACAGCACTTTTAAAGAACTTATTTAACATAACTATTTCCTACTGGGAACTTTATTTTTTTTTTCCTTCTCTGAAGCTAGAGCTGGATCTACCTGTGTCTCGTATTAATGCACTAATAATAAATCATTTCACTTTTTGTGTTCAATCACTATGCCCCTGAGGCTCTGAGCATGGATATGTAGGTATCTATATCCTATAACACTGAAAAGAAAATGAAAAAATTGCAGATTCAACTCTCTTGACGCAGTGCTGCCTTGAAGGCATCGGGGTTCAAACATTTGCCTTTAGGGAGCTCCAAAAATGTGTCAGTGCTTTTAGATTTGGGAAAGCTATGCTCCCCAGAGCCTCCTGCTTATCAGTTTTCTTTCACCTTTCTCCTAGAGCCGAGATTACCAGTGTGGTGCACTAAGCTACACCGAAATCAGGAGAGTTGGGTTGTATTTTCATTCTGACACCAATAAGCTGAAGATCTTGGCTGACTCACCTTTTTGGGGCCTCTGTTTTCTTACCTGTAATATTTGTAGCAGTTGCATTCACTGTTAATATAGTGTCGACCACTTACTGAGCATTTGCCATGTGTCCTAGCTATGTGTGTTGGTGTTATTTATCATTTTTCTTAGTTTTCACTGCAGCCCCATTAAATAGTTATTATCCCCAATTTCTGGATGAGGAAACTGAGGCTCAGAAAAGTGGAAGTGACCAGCCCAAGACCCAACAGCTCAAATGTAGAAAGCCAGAATATCCTCTTAACTTTTTACTTGAAATGTATTCCCTTAGGAGTGTTGAAGTGAAGTATATTGTCATGTAGTGTAGTATTCTGGGCTACTTAACAATGGATTATTAGTAAATTACTGTATGATTCCTTTTTCAGATAATACAGAAGTTGCATATTTAAAGACACTTTCCAAGGAAGATATCATAAAATTTTACAAGGTAAATTCAGTTCGTATTTTTAGATTTTTGACTGATAAGGAAATATTGTATGTCCCGTTTCATGTGCTTGTTACTGCTTTGAACTCATTCAGGCAATATTTATGAAGGCATTTGTATGGATGTAAGTATTTTTGACACATATTACTGTTAGAAAAAAGAAACAATTCATATCGAACCCAGTACTCTTTTCTTTTCCCTCTGGACCAGGAACTGTGATGGGCCGTCCTGGCTTCTGGATCCATCTCCTTAGGCTGCCCTTTTATTTCTTCTCTCTGTTCCCCACCCCAGCCCACAAAGAATTGGCTAAGCTTGCTTGGTGGGAAGGGATAGCAAAGAGAGCAAATAGAACTTGAGAATTAGATTATTCTCTAATCTCTGACAACTGTAAATTGTCTTCACCCATTTAGGTGCCACAGTAGCTGCTTATTTAGAATAATGATCTTCTGAGTTTTGAGTGCCTGTGCTCATAATGTTTATGGAGAAAAGAGAGACACCACGGGTAGTTTTCCCAGTACAGCTTTAAGAGGTTTCCACCATCTACATTTTCCCCACCTGCAACAAAATTCTAAGAAGGGTAGCAAAAATTGTAAGTGGGTATATAATGTGGAGTAAGCACATTAAGTGCTAAAATGAAAATTTTTTTACTATAATAGTTTACTTAAAGTGTTATATATGCCCTGTCCGGTTTGGCTCAGCAGTTAGAGCGTCGGCCTGTGGTCCAGAGAGACCCGGGTTCGGTTCCCACCAAGGGCACGTACGTCGGTTGCAGTTTGTCCCCAGCCCTGGTTGGGTTGTGCGGATGGCAGCCACTCGATGTGTCCCTTTCACGTTGATGTTTCTCTCTCTCTCCCCCTCCCACTCTATCTGAACAAAAACCAAAAAAATGTCCTTGGGTGAGGATTAAAAAAAAAAGTGTTACATATATTTCTTATAATATATTGGGGCTTCTGTGTAAAGTACTTTTATGTCTATTTTTCAGGATAAAGAGCAAAATTATACTCTGTAATTACCATAGTGCCTTAGAATTATATCCTAGCTAGTGTTCTAGCCACTTCTCCTGGTTCATATCTGATTTGTTAGGTGCCAGTTGTTTGGTCAGGAACTCAGTCCTGCCCTGTGCTAATATCTCTTTGGGAGGGAAATCATCTACAATGTTTTCAGGGATTTATTGTAACTGACAATACAAGAGTCAGTATGTACACTTCTCATTAGAATGATTTTGTGAAAACTTGTACAGTGAAGGCTAATCACATTTTCTCCCATACTTGAGTTTCCAGTACCCATTTAATTCACCAGTGTTGGTGCCGTGTGGGAGAGTGGAGAAAAGGCAATGTCCTGACCTGGAGGTGCCGATAGGTTTCTAGAGGAAGAGGGTGACCTTGCACAATCTACGAATCACTTATACTTACTCTCCCAAATCCCCTGCAGAACTACAAGGCTGCTATTCTCTGTATGTGCAAACAAGTATTAATATAGCCAGTAACACCTTAGCACTATGAAAAGGGAACGATACAATTTTAGTTTCAAAATTTGGCAGTAAAATCCAGTATTTCTTTTTTTATCCTCACTCGAGGACATTTTTGCATTTATCTTCAGATAGAACAGGAAGGAGAGAGGGAGGAAGAGAGAGAGAGAGAAACATCGATGTGAGAGAGACACATCGAGTGATTGCCACCCACACAACCCCAACTGGGGCCGGGGACAAACTGCAACCGAGGCACGAGCCCTTAGCAGGAACCGAACCTGGGCCTCTCTGGTCTGTGGGCTGATGCTTTAACCGCTGAGCAAAACTGGCCAGGGCAAAGCCAGTGTTTTGAATGTACCTTTTTAGCAATGAGATTTGAGCTTTTTGGCTGTGGCAAATTATTTTCTTTACTTCACTACTCCCTTTGCATTGTGTGAAGGAAGATAGAGTCTCATCTAAATGACTCTAGCTCTTTTGCAGTAATAGCTTTAAAATATAAAAATATTTTGATAAGGGGGCAGGCTGTGATGTGTGGGGGCAACAGATGTATAGCAAATCTCTGCACCTTCCTCTTAGTTTTGCTGTGAACTTGAAACTGCTTTTAAAAATAAAATCTATTAATATATATATAAAAATTTATATATATTTTGTTAATAAAAATACATAAAACAAAACTTTGATTTCAGCCCCATGCAATCCTTCTTTAGATGCAGAGAGAGCTACATACAGCAGGACTGGGAGGGGCAGGGTTAGGTGAGGAGCACAGCACACATGTCCACCGCCAGCCCTTCAGCTGCTCGAGTGCCCTGCTGAGCTGCCCACCTCACTCGGTGCTCTCAGCTTCTGCGGAGGTTCTTCCACGGGGTAGCAACAGGAGCACATAAGGCCTCTGAACACAGATCTGGGGCTCAGCCCTATTCCAACTATCTGCTTCTGTAACCTCGGCCAAGCTTGTGAGCCTCAGTTTCCTTATTTTACAAAATAGAGAGTCATTGGAGTGTTGATTGAAATGAAGTGTGTAAAGTGATTGGCACTTGGTACTAGTTAATGAATAGTCTCTATCATTGTTACCTCTTTATTAATAATACTCAGTCCCCGAGTTTTTAAATGTCTTAATCAGAATGCTTTAAATCAGTAGGTTTCCTTCCCTGATGTTATAAAATATGTTTTAGTTTATTTACTACTTAGACTGTTCTACTCTGAGACTAGGTCTGTTGTCACCCGCCTACAAAAGGTGATCATGCTCAGCTTTTTGGTTTCTAAGGCATTAATTTTAAGACATTATTATTACTTCTATGTATTCAAAAGAATGATGTCCTAGTGTAATGTACTGTAAATGCTTCCTAAAGAAATGAAGATTTGTCTTTCCTTTCAGAAACTTTATTATTCATTTAAAATCATAAGCAGTACTTGATTATTGAATTTGTGAAAATAGCAGATAGACTGAATTTTTCTTGTCTTAAAAATGAGAGTATTTATTACCAAACTTAAGCTAAATCTTAAACATTTTCCTAGCTGTGTTCTGTAGTACACTAGTGTTCAACAAGGTATCAATAAGGGAACCTACAAAGAGTTTTGTGACTATAAGTTTGGAAATGACTATACTCTTAATTCCTATTCTTGGAGAACCATAGTGTTAGCATTTTTTTTTTTTTAACCCTCACCTGAGGATATGTTTTTATGGGGGTTTTGTTTATTTTGTTTTGTTGTTATTGATTTTAGAGAGAGTAAAGGAGAGAGGAAGAGAAAGAAATATTGATGTGAGGGAGAAACATCGCCCAGTTACCTCCCATACATGCCCCACCCGGGACTGAACACGAAACCTTTTGCTATACAGTGATACCTCGGTTCTCGAACATAATTCGTTCCAGGAGGACGGTCGAGAACCAAATTGTTCGAGAACCGGAGCAATGAAACCCAATAGGAAATAATGGAAACTGGATTAATTCGTTCCAAGCCCCAGAAAATGCCTATTTACTGGCCTAATTTGTATATAATATGTAGAAAAACATAAGTCTCAACAAGAAATAAAGGTGTACAGTATGTCTAAGGGTTAAGTTCAGTGTAAAGCGTGACTCTCTCCACAAAGCGTGACTCTCTGCACTCACACTAATGACGCAAGCAAGGCGCGCTGGGCCGAATGAACGCCATTCGGCTCAACTCGGCTCATCTCGGAAGTTTGAGTTCCAAATATTTGTTCGGATTCCAAGACAAAAGTTTCTCGAATCTCCTGGTCGAATACCGATTTGGTCGAAATCCGAGGCGTTCGAGAACCGAGGTATCACTGTATAGGACGACGCTCCAACCAACCAAGCCACCAGCCAGGGCAGCATTTTAGACGTTCTAAGAAGCCACACAGTAAAGACTTCTTTAGCCCAGCATTTACTTAATTTTAATCAGCAAAACATTTCCTGAACTAATTTCACCATGGACCCTTTTTTTACACTGAGTATGTATAAGAATCTCTTGGGACTCATGATCCTTAGAACACATTTTGCAAGAAAATGCAGTTGGTTGGTTTTTAGAAAAATGGGGATTGTTCAAAGTTGGTCAGGAAGTTGAGAACAATCTGAAACTAAAGAGGGTGTTCTGTTTTCTACTGCTATAAGTTGTTAAGAAGGCTGTGAAGGTTTGGAAGAAAAGTGATCAAGAGTAGGTCTTCGGAAGCAAACTTTTCACTCCAGTTAGTGAGATGCTCTCAGATGAGGTGCTCCTTATTCCTGGAGGCAGACCTGGGCTGAACTCCTGCCAGAATAGGAGATCTGGCTGTTCCCCCGGCGGGAAGGAGCCGTGGTCCAGTGTGCCGTGCAGCATCCTCAGAGCTCCCATCGTGGCTGCACAGCACCAGGCTTGTCATAACAGCTCCATAGTAGCTGTGGGGTTGATTTGGCGTTGCTAGTGATCTCTTTCTCTGAGGATAAAAGTCACTACTTCTGGCTGAGGCATCACAGGAAGCTTTGTCACACTTGTTTTTTCCTTTTGAAGATGACAGATAAAGATTCAGCATTGCCCTGGCTGGTTTGGCTCAGCAGTTAGAGCATCATCCCACAGACCAGAGAGTCCTGGGTTCATTTCCCATTAAGGGCATGTACCTTGGTTGCAGTTTGTCCCCGGCCCTGGTTGGGGTTGTGTGAGTGGCAACCAGTCAATGTGTCTCTCTCACATCAATGTTTCTCTCTCTTCCTCCCTCTCTATCTGAAGATAAATGCAAAAAATGTCCTTGGGTGAGGATTTAAAAAAAAAAAATCCAGCATTAAGGAACAGGTGAGGAGACACTCCCCACAGGATCTGTCTGCCCACCACCCACTCCAAGAGTTCATGGCAGTGACGAAGGGGAACCCCTCAAAGCAACGTGATAGAATGGAAAGGGTGTCACTCTGACACCACCCCTCACGAGCTGTGACATCAGCAAGTCATTACACTTCCCTGTGTTTTAGAGGACTTGTGTCTAAAGCAGGAATCAGCACGATGCTCAGCTTCCGGGGTCAAGTGAGCTGGCACAGGAGAGTGCTTGACACAGGTAGAACTCAGTAAATGTTAGTTTACTTCTCTTCTGGTAGATGAGGAACCGCAGCAGTGACCGGTGCAGCATCTGAGACGGTTCTCAGAGGAGCGGGCTTTGTGGTCCTCCCTGACAGCTCAGGCCGTTGTCTCAGCATCACACCCCAAGGAGTACTAGGCCAGGTTTTTAATGCCAGCCCAGGCCTTGTTAGTCGTAGGGGTTTGAGCGCATCACTTAATCTCCTTGAACTCATTTTTCTCATTTGTAAAATGAGGTTAATGAATAATTCTTGCCTAACCTTTGTAGCGTTTAAATGATATACTCTAAGAGTGGAGAAAAAAAAGGAAGCATCTTTTCTGTTTCTGATGAAAGCTGATTCTTCATAGCTGTAAGAGAGCACCTTTTCATTCCTTAGTGGGGCAAAAGGGTGACTTTGCTATTCTTTCTGCCTAGGAAATGTTGGCAGTAGATGCCCCGAGGAGACATAAGGTATCGGTCCATGTTCTTGCCAGAGAAATGGATTCTTGTAAGTATTGAATATTGACTTTTAAAAAATGTATACTTTTAGGCACATAACTGTCCCTTGCTATAGTCACAGCCCTTATGGAGCACCAGGAGGTAAAGGGGTGCTAACTAGAAACAGGGTCTGCTCTAGCAAAGCAAAAGAAGGGGAAAGGGAAGTGAGGCGTGAAGGGGGCAGCTGACCCCAGATGGCACAATGCCAAGCAGAGCATGGCTCTGTAAGAAAACACAGCTAGTGGCTAGTAGGACATCTCCAAAGAAGCTGTAAGGACCACTGTGTATGGGGACGAAGGGGAAGGAATTTATCTGCTAGTCCTTCCCGTCTCCTGTCTCTGACCGGCCAGGGTGGCCCCACAACCATGAACTCCCATGGCCCTCTCAGTTGTTTTGGTGGCCAGAGCTTCAGGGTCCAGTGAGCACTAAAATCGCTGCTTTAACATCATGCGCCGTCACTGGGGCGCTCCAGGTGGGAGGCAGGGCAGCAGTCACGGCTTGGGGAGCCGGCAGCCTGAGAGAATCTGAAAAGTACGTGAACCGGGTCTGGTACAGCTTTGTAATGAGCTGAGTCTGGTTTTGATTGTTGTTTTTTTTTAAAGTTGTTCTTGTGTGCTAGTATCAATAAGTGCAGAACATTAAACCCTTCATTTTCTTATAGGTCCTGTGGTTGGAGAGTTCCCGTGTCAAAATGATATAAATTTGTCACAAGCACCAGCCTTGCCACAAGTAAGAAACGTAAATGTTACGTTAGGTTGCACTGTTAGAGGCCTTACTACCTAGAAGGAGCTTGTTCATCAGGACACATAAGATCTAGAGACTTCAGGTCACCAGGTGTTTGAACATGTACCTTAGGTCTCTCTTAAAGGCCAGGTCTCTGTTCTTCCTGACAGCTCCGAGTGGTCATACCTTTCTATTTTCAGCTGCACAGGAACTCGGCCTCTGTCCTCGTCTGCCTTTGTCTTTAGCTTGAACAATTGTGTTACTCTGCAGTGAGCTGCCTCTAGCCATTTTTGTCCTTAGCCCCTTCCACAGTGCCTGCATATTTTCATCACCTGGAAAGCTTGGCCTTTTATTGCGGGAGGAGGGAAACTGGCCATATAACCAGTCCTTGCTGGGTGGGCACGCCTACCTCTGGCACTCTGCTGAAGCCCTTAAGTTTGCCAGCCCTGTGTACCCAGAGGGAAACCAGGAGTCTTCCTTCCAGCCCAGAGTTCCACTGGGGACATTACCATAGGTTTTCGTAGACCCTCTGGCCTCCTGATCCAGGAGGAAATGTCAGCAGATCATAATATATGGGGTAGAAACTAGCGTGTATGAAAAAAGAAAAGTGTCTGTGTCCTTCAGTCTGCTCTTTAGCTAAATGCACTGAGAGGCCTTTTTTTCTTTGCAGCCTGAAGTGATTCAGAACATGACTGAGTTCAAGCGTGGTCTGCCGCTGTTTCCCCTTGTGAAGCCACATATCAACTTCATGGCTGCCAAACTCTGAAGATTTCCCCACAGTGGCAGAGTGCACGAGGATGCATTCCCGAGTCTTCCAGGGCTAGGCAACGGTCTTGGCCACTGTAATAGTTTCCACTAACTCAGGCAAAGTAAGGAATGGCGTTTTCAAGTGACATTTTGCCAGGATTTCTTTCTGTAGAATCATGTATTTTCACATCTTACGTTTTCACATTTGCCATTTTCCAAATAATCTAAATTTGGGGCAAGAATGATATAACCACAGCTGTGGAGGCTGCTTTGGAAAGTGGGGCTCCATTTCTATCACCTAAATGTGGTGCTGTAACTGTCTTTTTATCCCTACCTTCAAGAGCTTCCTTGTGGGAAGCCCGTCTTTCTCCATCAGAAGGCGCGTGAATCTTCACTTCCTTCTGATTTTATGCATTTGTAGACTATGCAGCTTTTAATCAAACTGCAAATATATTATATATAAGAGGGATCTAAAATTAGTCGTGAGTGTTTAAGTTCACCACTGTAAGAGTGAATAATTGAGTAACTTTTAGCTCTTGTTTAAAAAAAAATGGATGAAATTAAAAAGGGGGGACATCTGTAATACTTTCAACAATAAAGAAAAAATAAATTTGTTTTAAAAAAATGGGTGAAATTTAACAGTTATTTTTATGAGCAAGTCACATGAAGAAATCTGAAAAGAATCACATGTGGTCTTCCAGGGACAGACGATTGTTCGTGCTCCAGCATTGGCTGGTTTCCAGATTGGATCAAGAGCCACCATTGGATCACTCAGGCACACTAATGGATTCATTTAAATGGGTCCAAACTGAAGTTCAGGAACAATAACAGACTCCCCCGGATACCGCTCTTTACTCAATGCTTAGTAAAGGAGATTTGTGCAACAAACTAAGTTATTAGTCACCTGCGACATTTTAGAAGAGTCTTCTTTCTGACTAGTTGATTTGGAAGAGAGCATGTGACACAGCCAGTGTGGTGGCGTGCTAGGGTAACCTGTTTACAATAAACCGCCTGACTTTAACCTCTGGAGTTTGCATTTGTGTTATTTTTACAGTTTCGGTGGCCAGCCTCAACCTACCTCCCGACATCCTGATTTGACAATGTTTCTTGCTTTCATTGTGAATTTTTAGTTTTAAGTGTTGTTAAATAAATAGGTCAGTTGCACACTTAAGTGTAGATTATTTTTGCAGAGCAGGAGTCGAGGCTGAACTCCTTGCTGTGAGTATTGTCACTGAACCCAAATCCAGAAAGATTTGTCCCCAGCATTACAAGGAAGAAATTAAAAAGGGTAGAAAAACAAAAATTTCCTCTCCAGCTAGTCTTCGCATCCTCTGACCACATCTCCAGCAGCAGGTCAGGCAGGTATCTTGTCCAGCCCCCGGCCTGTGGCTCCCTGTCAATATAATCTTTCTGCTCATGTGAATGCCAACTGGCTCAGACGGGTACTTCAGGAGGAAATCTGCTTGTCCTTCCGTTTCCAGCCTTGGACAGTGGTGTAGCCCCCACAGCACTGTGCTGAGGGATGGGGCAGCAGCCCCACCCAGAGGCCAGAGCAACCCTCATTGTTACGGCCTGGGGCAATGTCCCCTCTTGCAGTGCATGGCAGGAATCATCTGGTCCTCTTCTCGAATTCTTTAGTCCAGCTTCTCACAGTATTTATGTTTATGGTGAAAACCAAACTCACATACTTATCTCCCTTTTGTAAGGGTGGTTCCTGCCCTCCTAATCCTTCTGTGGCAGGGCCTCTGCCCACTTGGCTCCTAGATGCCTATTTTGTGCTGCCTGTCAGATCAAGTTCATTTATTGTCTTTGTCCGCTTAAACATTGTACATATATTGTTTCTTGTGGCAAAATTTATTGGTACTGTTGCATTGCTACTTTTCTCATCCAAGTTCAACTCTTCGAAGATATTACAGCATTTTGGACAGCTCATACTCTAAATTAACCTTAATGTTATAAATATAAGGCATTTTGTGCCCAGCCAGAGTGGCTCAGTTAGTTGAGTGTCATTCTGTACACCGAAAGATTGCCAGTTCGATTCCCAGTCAGGGCGCATACCTGGGTTGTGGGTTTGATCCCCAGTGGGGGCTCATACAGAAGGCAGCCTATCAGGGTTTCTCACTTCGATGTTTCTCCCTTCCTCTCTTTAAGCATGTCCTCGGGGAGGATTATAAATATAAACTGCTTTGTAGATTATAGACCACCTTACATCTTCCACAGTAATCTTTTGCCGTGGGAGGACTATGATTAAAATTATCCTCTCGGGTTTTTCAGAGGTGAAACTAGTCTCAGAAAGTCCAAACCATTCACCCAGGATCATGCAGGAAACACTGATTCAAGTCTCCACTCAGACCTTTAAACTCTCCATTTTGTTCCATGTGGATGTCCTGTAACAAAAGCTACCAAGTCCATTAATGCACTTTGGGAGCAAAGTAGAAAGGCAGGTGCTTTTACACATGCCTGAAACTTGACCTTTTTCACATACACCATCGTAGTCTCCGAACCTTTGCCTATTTTGGGGGGAGTGAGACGGGATCTCAGTCTGGGCGCCGCTCCTCCAGTCCACTGCTGTCTCCACTCTGCTGGGCTACCCGGTGGCCAGTTACACCACCGCCTGCTGGATCTCCCTCCCTGTGGGGTTAACCTAGACCCTCCTGGGCTGCTGACCCCTAAATCAATGCAAGCTTTCCCTGCCCCTGAAGTGGTGAGAGGGGGACCCTCCAAGAAGTTCGGAAAAGGAGTGGGAAGAGTAAAGTTAACCTCCGACCCCCCACTCAGAGACGACCACATTTGTTTCTTTGCTGTCTGTCTCCTGTGCACGTAGAATAGGGTCGTAGTGGGTGCCGCAGCTTTTCCCTGCAGAAGACTACCTGTAATGAGAATTTTCACGTGGAGGCTCTTGACGGAAATGTGAATGGGGAGGGGGGGGGTATTTTTAAGTGTTTGGTGTCATATTATACAGTCGTTTGTTCATGTCATCCTCTTTGTGGGATGTGTAGGGTGTTTTTAAACTTTGTTCCGTGATAAAACTCCTTTTGCAGAGTGTGTGTGTCATCTTCTGATTGTTTCCTTAAATTGCTGGGTTATGGAATCTGAATATATCATTTAACTTTAAAAAAAAATATGTTTATTGATTTTTTAGAGAGAGAGGAAGGGAGAGAGAGAAACATCGATTTGAAAGAGAAACATCGATCAGCTGCCTCCTGCACGCCCCCCTCTCTGACCGGGAATCAAACTGGGACCTCTCAGTTCATGGGACGACGCTCACACTGAACCACACCAGCTAGGCATTAACTTTTTATTTTGAATTTTAATCTACAGAGTTGTAAAAATAGGACAGTGAATTCCCATCTACTCTTCACCCTGTATTTACCTTGCTCCCTCACTCTCTTTTGAGTAGGTTGCAGACCTCATGGCTCCTTACTTCTAATCGAGTATCTCCTAATAACAGGATCAGTGTGTAGTAAGGAATTTGGACTCAAACAAAAGGAGGTCTGGCCTCTGTCTCCTTTGTCTTTGTTCAGATGCAATGCACCAGTAATTCTTTTTTATTATTATTAAATTTATTAGGGTGATGTTGGTTAATAGGATCATATAGGTTTCAGGTGTAGATATCTGTGTTACAGGATCTGTAAATTGCACTGTGTGCCTACCACCCAAAGTCAAATCATCCTCCCTCACCATATATTCGGCCCCCTTCACCCCCAGCCCCCTTCCCTCTGGCAACCACCACACTGCTGTTTGTGCCCATGAGTTTGTTTTATATCCCACATATGAGTGAAATAATACGGTTCTTAGCTTTTTCTTCCTGATGTGTTTCTCTTAATATTCTCAAGGTCCATCCATGTTGTCACAAATGGCAGTATTTAATCTTTTTTGTGGCTGAGTAGTATTCCACCATATATATGTACCACATCTTCTTGATCCAGTCCTCTATCACAGGCACTTTGGTTGCCTCCAAGTCTTGGCCACCATGAGTAATGCTGCAGTGAACATGAGGGTGTATATATCTTTGCAAATACATGTTTTCAGATTTTTCAAGTATATACCTGAAGAGGGATTGCTGGATCATATGGTAACTGAATTCTTAATTTTTAAAGGAATCTCCAGACTGGCTGATTTTTCCACGGTGGCTATACCTGTCTACATTCACACCAATAGTGAATGAGGGTTCTTTTTTCTCCACAACCTCTCCAACACTTGTTATTGTCTTGTTGATAACAGCCATTCTAACAGATGTGAGGTAGTATCTCATTGTAGTTTGGATTTACATTTCCCTAATTGCTAGTAAGGGTGACCATCTTTTCATGTATCTGTTGGCCGTTTGTCGTCCTGGGTGTCTGTTCAGGTCCTCTGCCCATTTTTTAGTTGGGTTTTTTGCTTGGTATTGAGTTTTATGAGTTCTTTATATATTTTGGTTATTAAACCTCTGTCAGAGCTGTTGTTTGCAAATATCTCCCATTTAGTCAGCTGCTTCTTTGTTTTGTTGGTTTCTTTTGTTGTGCAGAAGCTTTTTAGTTTGATATAGTCCCATTCATTTATTTTTGTCTTTACTTCCCTTGCCTTTGGGGTCAAGTTCATAAAATTTTCTCTATGACCAAGGTCCTAAGTTTAGTACCTATGTTTTCTTCTATGTAATTTATTGTTTCAGGTCTTATATTTAAGTCTTTGATCCATTCTGAATTACTTTTTGTACAAGGGGACAAACTGTAATCTAGTTTCATTCTTTTGCATGTGGCTTTCCAGTTTTCCCAGCACCATTTATCGAAGAGGCTTTCTCTACTCCATTTGCACACCAGTAAATTTGACAACTTAGATGAAATAGATAAATTTCTTGAAAGACACAAATTACCAAAGCAGACGTGAAAAGAAATAGAAAGTTTGAATATTCCCTTATCTTTTCAAGAAATTGAATTATTACCCTTCCCACAAAGAAAATTTCAGGCCCAGATGGCTTCACTGGTAAATTGTAATAAATGTTTAAAGATGAAATTATACCAATCTTACATAACATTTTAGAAAACTCTATAAGACTAGCATTACCCTTATACCAAAGTCAGACAAAAACATTTCAAGTAAAGAAAACTCCAAACCAAACTCCAAAACTCCAAGCCCCCTAAATTTCTAACAAAATAGCAATTTGAATCCAGGGATGTATAAGAAGGAATTCTATATACAGCTGATTTTCAAATATTATGCCAACGTTACATGATGACAAAGAGGGGTTTTCTTTGGAATGCAAGGTTAGTATATAATATTTGAAACTCAATTAGTATTATTTACCATAGTAACAAAATTAATGAGAAAAAATGCATATGATCATTTAATAGATACAGTAAAAGCATTTTACAAAGTTCATAATAAAAGCTTTCAGCAAAGAAGGAATAGATAGGAACTTAACCTAATAAAGGAGAATTTACAAAATACCTACTGATAACATCATATTGAGTGATAAAACTGAACACTTTCCCCTAATCTGCACCAAGGTGAGGATGTATGCTCTCACCACTTGTGTTCAGACTTGTATTTGAGGTCCAGCCAGTGCAGTCAAGCTCAGAAAGAATGCAGTAAAACTGTTTAGTCACAGACGACATGAGCACATACAAATTTCTAAGGACTATGAAAATGCTACTACTAATAACTGAACTATACTGTCAACACAATTCAAATATAATATTCAATAGCACCAAAAAAATACTTAAGGGTAATTTTTTTTATCCTCACCCGAGGACATTTTCGCATTTATCTTCAGATAGAATGGGAGTGAGAGAGGGGAGAAGAGAGAGAGAGACATCGATGTGAGAGAGACACATTGACTGGTTGCTATCCACACGACCCCAACTGGGGTGGGGACAAACTGCAACTGAGGTACGTGCCCCTAGAGGAAACCTAACCCAGGACTCTGATCTGCAGGCCAGTGCTCTAACTGCTGAGCCAAACTGGCCAGGGCGGTAAATTTTTTTTTTTTTTTTTAATGTGAAAAACCTGTACACTTAAAA